TGTAGGGGCAGGACCCAAAGAGAGGAAAAAGGATAAACAGGATAAGGGGGAGTGAAGAGGGGAGAGGGGAAAAAGCTGGCCAAAAATGAAATAAAAGCAAGAGCAACAGGGGAGTCGCAACATTTTTGCCAGCAAAATAGTTTTAGCAAATAGTTGATTTGCAAATAAAAAACCGGGGCAAATATTGTCCATATCTATACATACATTCATATTCATGTTCATGTCCGTATATACACCAGACATATTCTCCGAGTGGGCGGAGTGGGCGTGGCAGGGTCAGCGAACTGGACGCTAATCAAACTTTTTAATATGCCATGCATGCAGTGTGCGGCGACTTTTGTTTTGACACACCGCAAAGTGGGCGGCGAAGGGGTTGCGGCAGGCGGGGGCGTGGCAAGTCGGTCCGGCATTATGAGATATATTTCATATGTGCATAATGCTCGAGTTATTGGATGGCATGTGTGGCAGAGATGCCGGCAGAAAACAGATTTAGTTCACATGGCTTGGCTACATATGCGTTTTATGTGCTCGTCTTCTCAAGCAAATGATACAGTAAGCCAAAAATAGTGTCAAATAAATTAAACAGATATATATATTACCTGGGTAAAATATACAAAATTTATTTTCTTTAACTTTCTTGTCATTTTAAGTAAAGGCATTTTTTAACCACTATCGGAAACTCAATAAAAATGTGTTTAAAATGTTCACTAGTTTTTTTTTTTAATAAAGAAAATCATCTGCAACATTTATTTTATTATATGTTATTTTGTTATTAATTCAGAGGCCTTTTAAACGTTCCTAATTTTGTATTAATATTTATGAAACTTATCATTTTTAAATCGAATTAGAATATAACTTTTCTTATTCTAATGTTTTTCATTAAGCCATATTTTTTTGGAAAGTTATTTGGACAGACTCTTATTAAAATACTCTGTATTATAAAATGATCTTTGATGACATGAATTTAAAATTAAAAATTAATCTTCTCTGAATACCTTTTTTTTATAAACGAAATTTAAGACTTCGCTCAGCTTAAGATCCACTTAATTCCCCTTGCGATTTTGTTTCCTATTCAAATTAAATTTTTTTCCAGTACTCACAAGTAAAACCGACTTAAGGGGCTGGATTGGAAAGGTCCCGGGAATAATGACAGAGCAACTGCCTCCAAGATGAGATGTGTGCTGTATGGGAGGTCAGCTAAAAATGCATCATCATGAAATGAAATCAAGTGCATTTATTTAGCTCAAAGGGTAGCGAAGGGGGTAGGGGGGCTATAAATGCCGCCAAAAACCGCCCCCTTTTCCAGCAGCTGCCATGTGAGTGGGCGGTGCGGAGGAGTGAGGTCGTGGGGGCGTGGCAAGATGAATGATGTAGGCGAACGGCCGCCGTATGTTACACAGTTTCGACTTCCATTTAGTTCGCCAGTTTAAATACACACGGGACGGGCCAAAAAATGTTTGGGCTTTTGTTCGAGGCAAGTCAAGGATATAAAAAGGATGTTAGGAGTAGGGGCACTATTTTTTATGACCCCATCCTGGCGAGAACTTTCAATGGCTGCTGCTGCGAAGGCACCGACTTTATGCCTGATGGATGGACAGCTTGAAAGGAGCGAAATGCGGCTTAGGCCTTGAGAAGGTTTGAGCTGCAGCAACATCAAATTGAAGAGGAACGGCAACTGAAGCTCAAGTGTGCAAAATAGAAAAGAATTCAGTGAAAAGCTTTTCAAACGTTGAATGAAAGCCAGCAGGAGGCGATCTTAAAGATCATTTATAAAGCTAAACTGTGAATCAAGTTATGCTGAGGAGAAACTTAATAATTGCACTTTTAGGTTTTATACATCAATTATCAGAAACTTTTAAATTCTTTAAAAACCAGATAAGAAAAAACAACAAAGGCCATACTTCATAAATTTAATAAATTACAAACAAATATTGAGAAGTGTTAGATATCGAATAAATGTATCTTCTTGCCCCCAAGTAATTATATTTTGGTAAAGGAAAATTATTCTCGTTTCTTTATGAATTTATTTGATAGCCAAAAAATAAATCCCTGACTTTCGCAGCTCGCCTTTTTCTGAGTAAACTATTTTTCACAACGTCTCTTTTATGTTTGCCCGGCATTTATCACCAGTGACCTCCGGACGGAAATTGTAAACAAAATTTTCGCCATTAACAAAATTAAATCAAGAATATTTTCATGAAGACAGAGCCGAACCGAAATGCTGGCATGTGTGAGCCATAAAATAATGGTGTCTCTGGCTGGGAAAATATGTTCTCATATTTTTCGTTGACTGTCGAGAAACATTTCGAGAATTATGGAATGAAAGCGGCAAAATCTGACTCGACAGAAAAACAAAAGCAAAATGCACAAATATGTGCTTATAGTCGAGAACAAGAGCAACTTTTAGACACATGCAGTAATAAATGAAACAAATTAATTAAAAGTGTGCAACGGGTCGGCTGAGGAATAAATGAAAAGCGAAATCGCAATGGCAAAGTTTGCTCTCTTTTTCAGTGTTTTTCGCTTTTTTTTGTTTTTTCCTACTGCCGTAGATGCGGATGCTGTTGCTCTCGAGGCATGATAAATTATGCAGCCATCACCTTATTTAAAATGAAGATTAATTTAAGTACTGCCAAATGCTGTTGGCTCCTCCACCTCCCATTTTTCCACACTTTTCACCCATTTGAGAAATTGTTGTGTGGCGAGCCAAACAAATGGAAAAGGTTGCGATCCTCCGAATGAGATTTGCAAATGGATGTGAATTCTATGGGGGAGTGGCTTATATGCAAATCAGACATTGCACAATGGCATATTTAACTACAAAGGCATTGTTGTTTGCACACAGTTTCGCTTTGACCTGACATGTTGGTTAATTTAATTATTAATCCTGTAGTGGTCTTCAAATGATTTAGTTTTATATTTTATATTTTTGAATTTTAGTTGAGGTAATAAAAAAGACAGACAACTTTAATGGCTTTCAAAATGGTAATTGAAATCAGCGGTTAAAATATATTTACGATTTTTTTAGCATCTACACAATTACTGTTTACAACTGTGACGCATGTTAAAAATAAAATGTAACCAACAACGATTAAAAAAGTTCTGTGAATGTGTTTAAAATATTTTAGCACCTTCAAATATCTGCTCTACAATTTCTAAAAAAAAATGTAAAGCTTTTTGTAATATTGAACGTACTTAAAAGGTAAACTAAAAATGTTCATAATTATATTTGAATAGTATCAAAATATATACATTACATATTGAGTGTAAAAAAAAAAATGTTTTGCCATTGTTAGCAATTTTACTAGTTCAACCTCAAGGGGAAAAATTAAATGCAAATCGATTTATTAAAGGACTGCAATTTGTTGACATCGGCAGTAATTTGTTTCACCTATTTTTATATCAAGTTTGGTTTTTGCACGTGTCAGCTATTAGCTTAGTCGAATGGAAATAAAATGATATGTTGGCATATTTACTACATAGGCTATAAAATATAGTTTTATACATATATATTCATATTTTTGAATGTAGCAGAATAAACATCTTCACCTTGTAACATTAATGGGTGAATAGTATTCCCCATTGAGTGCCTTTTAGACTCGCAAAAGTGCCATAAAATCGATTTATTTAAGGCTTCCACATTCGTTGACTCGTTAAGTGAGTGGCTGCACCTATTCCCCCGACAAGGATGCACTTTGCACCTGTCAGGCGTGTGGAAATCCTTCGTATTTTCCGCTAGCCCCCGGATCAGCGAATCCCGGCCATCAAACGCGGCTCAGTGGCCCCAGGTGGAAATTGAATTCCCCCATAAATACCACGAAAATCTTGTCTGGATATCTAGCTGTCCTCCAGTGGAGACTGTTTTTCTGTCTGTTCACCTGCCGCCGGCTGCATTTTGCCAGGATGCAAGGATGCAAGGATGTTGCTCTGGTCCGGGACATGCCACGGCCTACATAAATATGCATATGCGCCACAAACATTTGCCGAGTCGCATGCGATGGGTCCCCCAAAATTCATGCGAAAACTGCTGACATTTTCGAAAATAAATGCAACGTCAGAAATATTGCACATGCATGCAAATACGCGTCAGGCAGCGTGATAAATATACAAATCGCAGTCAGCTTTTGCCGGTTAGACATCCGTTTAATTGAGTCAACATAGCGTAGATCTGGGATTCCGACGGCGGTGGAGGAGGATTAGGGGGAGGGGGTGGAGAAAGGGGATGGAGAAAGCGGACGGAGAAAGCGAACGGAGAAAGGGAGGCGTCAAATTAACGCTGTCAACTTTTCGCAGCGTGCACAGAAAACATTAAAAACTAATTTATGGATTTGCAAGCCAACTCCCGCGTTGATTTATGTACACTCAACAAAAGCCAACTAGAGGACGAAGTTGGCCAAGAACTAATATTAAAAGTCCATTTCGGATTTCTACTTCGGGATAAATGAATTCTAAGAACTCCTTTCACTTAGGTAACAGTCTTCTTTATTATAATTTAATTTCCACCAAATCGTTCTGTGCATTTTAAAACTTTTCTGCTCTTTTTGGGTATTGAATACCAAAAATTTACTTATTTTTAAGTAAACTGAATTCATAGAGAGCACTTAATTTAAATTATTTTTTCATTTTCAATTAAAATTTTAATAATATTTAGTTTAATTATAAAAGCGTTAATATTGATTTAAATTTAAAATAGCTGTCAAATATAACATTTTAAGCCAGAAAACGAATTGTCCTTAAATACTATACTAAATATTCTTGAATACTTAAAAAAACTAGGTTGTTAAAATTTATTGGAACTTCTGTTAATAAATTATTTCCCATTCAGATATTTTAAAATTATTTTAGTTTAACATTTTATAAATACCATTGCTCCAAAGTGCTTTATTTATTAAAACTTTTTTAAATTAAATCTTGAATTCCATATATTCCCATCGTGAATTTAGAGAAATGTTATATTTATTGTTCGAGTGAAGAGTCTACGGTTTCCATGGAATACTCACAGCGTTTGGGTATCCTTCGGAACCTGGGGCACGGTGGTTAGTTTGGCGCGGATGCAGCGCACGGTGCGCTCCAGGCAGGTGCATCCGGAGGGGCAGTAGGCGGCCGTGACTCCGCCGGAGAGGAGGAGCAGGCCGAGCAGCTGCAGCAGGAGCAGCGGCACTCGCATTTCGGGGTAATCTCACGCACTTCTCACCAGATGGACGTGGTTTCAACAACTGTTTGAGGCGCAGCCAAAACGCGACGATAAGTGCCTTTCGCGGGCGGAAGTTGGTACCGCTCCCTTATCACTTTCTGCGGGACAGCGTTTATCACTGAATGCGGTGCCTAAAACACTGCGCAAGTGCGACTTATATATCGCACAATGGCCACCATGCTACACAAACAAAAATCCAAGATATCAGTTTGCTGATTGAAGCCTGCTATTTACTAGTTATTTCTAGTGATGGGATTCTAAATCCTTAAACTTATGATTTTGTAAAGAAATAAAATTTAAAACAATTTAAATGGTATAATAAAAATACAATTTCTTATGAATTTTGCAAAATATTATACAACATTTGTGGTAAAGCATTATGTATAACTTATTTTTAAATTTAACTCTAGTTTATTTTAAGTAATACCAACAATTTCTAAATTATAATTTGTAAAGTTTCTTTAACACTTTCCAAATTAATGTAATCTCAAAAAAGTTTTATTTATAATCAGTTACTTTACACTTTTCAAAATTACTTATTAGAGACAGCAGATTTTTAAATTTTCACTTGTATATTAATAATATGTGTTAAAAATCTTTAACTAAAGATCTGAACTTCTAAAATTATATTTCAGTAAAATTTTAAAATCTTAAAATTTAGGGTGTTAAAAAGTGTTTTCCATTTAAGTTTAATTTAAACCAGCGATAGAACTACACTCTTTACTGATTTGAAAACTCATCGAACTGTAAGCAATGTTACCGATATTTTCTCTCAGTGTCTCGGCGAAATGTTTAATTTTAGAACGATTTTGTTATTAAACGACTCCCGGGGATTTTTATGCCGAGTGAACAGAACTGCACGCGCCAAGTGCCGACGAGCATCTGAACGCCGAGGAACAGAAACTGAAAGGCGGAACTTGGAACCGAGTCCCGAGTTGCACATGCAGCGCTTCGGCTTTTCCGTGTCGGATGCAGACTGTGATAACATTTTCCTGAGGCTCTGGCTTCTCAAGAGTTCTCGATATTAGTTGGCCGGCATGGGACTGAAGCCTATGGTGCCTATATACGGGATGTATAGATGGATGGATGGATGACTCTATATCCACTATATATGGTACAGTATTGCATCAAGGCCGACACACTTGTGTTGCACCGGCATTTTCAATGTATTTTCAATGCGGACGCAAAGCGAGCAAAACAAAACACAACAAGCATACGCCACGTTGCACTTGCACAGCATCAAATGCCCTGCCTGCCTCATTTTTAATGCATGAGGGGGAGGGGGAATAGGGGGGGTGGTGTGTCCTGGTACACTCCATTTGTTTTTGCATCCATGAAGTGATAGGGGGTGGCAGATTCGCAACTGCTCGCTTAAGCGGTCGGTGATAAGACGCGAAATCAAATTTAAAAGCTATCAATTTGATATTAGTTCGGGGACCGGCGAAAACCCTTTGGGGGAAAGCTTCCAGCGCGTGCCAGAATGCAGAAAGCGGAGTTTCGTTTTTGTTTTTGAGCAGGATTGCCCCACAGAGAGAGAATAATACAACAATTTTTCGATTTCTGAATTTGTAGCACCTTTAAATATTATTTTACCCATCAAACACTTTTTCAAAAGTTCTGTTTGTGAGGCAATACTTTTATCATATTTTTAGAAATCATAATATTAGTTTGTTGAAAGAAGATATTGTGAATATATTTTACTACTTCTAACTCTAATCCTTATTTTATTAATAACAAACTATATTTTGTGTTTTTTTAAAAGAAATTAAAAAATACGCCAACAGTAAAAGTAAAATAAACTTATATTTTTAGGATGTAGAAGTTGAAAATAAATCTTTTATAAAATAGTTTGGACTATAATTTAAAATTTTAAAAGTGACAGTCCCAATTTTAATGTATTATTTTAATAGTTTTATGATTTTAATCTAAAAAAGGACTTTTTTTCTCACTGCATCCTATTTGTTTTTGTCCGACATATGCTGCAGCTCATAAAATTTCTCCGTTTTGCAGCAGTTTTCATTTTGCCTTCTTTTTTCGGCAGCACTTTTTTGGTTAGCTGTCGAAGTTTTGAAATCAATTTGCAGATGATTTATTATGTTCCATGGGAGGAGAGGGGTTGAGAGGGGGTCAGAGGGGGCTCAGGAGAGGAGGAAGCTGTGCATACGACATTGCAAATGGAAGCCACTGACGTTGATGAATGCCACTGTGTATTGTTTTGCTGTCAGTTTCGATCAAATTTCTGTTTCGGGGCATCGCATTCCAGGTGAAGCGGAAAATTTGCAAGTTATGCGACAGTTTTATGCGCCCATTTTTTTGATTGGTAAAAGTGGAGGATGTCAAGGAGTTATAAATCTATTCGCAAATTGATTGCAAGTCTCGGGGTAATCGAGTTCCTCGAGGGGAATTTGTCAGTTGGGCATGGCAAATAATTTATTTGACGAAACAGCAAAGTGGTTTTTATTTCATTTAAATTGAAATAAATTCTATGTTTATCTTTAATCCTTTTTCAAAAGGTAACCGCATGTTAGATGCTGCCCATCTACTAAATATTTGTATGGGTAGCACTTTACCTATCTCTAGTACAATTGTGACTATCGATAACACCCAAACCAAGCAATCAACAATCTGCCATTGTTGTTTTATAAACCAAAAAGAAAACAAGCTCAAACTTAAAATCTAAAATGAATATAAGTAGATTAATAAAACGTATAACAAAAAGGTATATTCCCTGTTTTAAATATCAGTATTTTCAACGCGCGTTATTCCACACTTTTCGATAAACATATGTGCCACCCCCAACAAGAAATTTTGCCAAAATAGAAACTGCAAAACAAAAACCGCTGCGAAATCGGTAAAAAACTGGGATGTTATAGCCGTCATAACTGATATGTCCAAGCGCAACAACATAACCTACGTAAAGCCGCAGGAACCGAGTTTTTTGGCCAAGTTGAAGGCGGAAATTGGCTACAAAGAAGGACCCAGCGTAGAGACCAAGGTAAGTTCGTGGTCGTCTGTAACCCGGGGAATTCTAATGGGGATTTAATCCCAAGCAGCGCCAACGTTTGGAGTCGGACCCAGAGGATTACGATTCTGGGGAGGATTCGCGGCCGGAAAGGGAGGACGAACAGCCGCAGGTGGTGGTCCTTCGACCAGGAGATCTTTCCGCTGAGGAAGCCAAAACGGAGAAACAGTTGGCCGCCAAAGGTCGGTACATCCATATATACATACCTATATAATACATACTTACACGCTCGCACACAGACACATAGACAACACGCCAGCGGCGGCAGTTGCACGTGTGTGCGTAGGTAGGATGTTGTAGTTTGTCTTTCAGTTTAACTTTTCAGTCAGAATCGAGCGGTTGTCTTCTTCTGCCCAGCGTTACATATATATATCTAATATATATATGACTTCGTATATATGTGTGCGCGCGTGTGTTTGTGCATTTTTGCCAATGAAAATATAACGGTAGTGCAAAAAGAACCGTTTGTTCGATTTTTGTTTACTGAAAAGTAGGTGTCTTATGTGCATTGGCAGAGGTTTTAATACTTTTTTTAAACCCATGTTGCCATGGTAAACCTTGTAATTTCCGTCCTGAAGATTCCCTTTTTTTGCCCAGCGGAGCACCCCTCACACGAACACACACACATATACAAATAGCCGACGAGGCATACACACTGACATTTTCATTGGGGGGCTCCGCTAAAGCAAAACATGTGATGAAAAACGTTGGTAAAGCGGGCGGGGCGATAAAGCAGCCGGCAAAGAAGTTAACAACAGCAGCTGCCGCTCGCTTTGTCCCCTCTTCCGTTTCCTCCTCTTCACCTCCCCCCTTGGACGAGCGCAGAAAATCGGGTGAAAACAACGTGGGCAAGAACGAACGGATGAAGGAGGCGGCCAAAGCGGAGAGACAATGATGAACGAAGCAAGCGAGCAAAGAGAAAAAGAGCGGGCCAAAGTGGCTTGACGACGTGGTGGAGGAGAAGGAGGGGCGGGGCAGTGGCGGAGGAGGAAGAGGGAGCAGGAGGATGAAGGGGTGGCGGAACAGCGGGGGCGGGTTGCGAATAGGTAGATGGAGCGGTAGGAGACGGAGGAGGAGGGGATTGGCCAGGGCCGAGAAAAACATCTTGTGGGTGCTGCTTGGAGGATGTTGGTTAAGGGGGAGAGGGGGTGGCCTGTTCTGATTTTCCCATCTTCGTCATGCTGCAATTTTTAAACCCAGATACATTTTCCGATCCAATAATGAGTTGGAATTCGTTTGTAGCTTATGCAATTTTTAAAATACATTTCCTTTTTTATATTATTAGCTCTTCAATATTAAATATGTTCTTAAGATTTTGTGCAACTTTCAAACCCACATCCAGTACTCGACAAAAAGCATCCACCATTTGATTTTCATAGCAACTTATGCAATGTTAAGATCCAATACATTTTCAGATCGTACAAGTAAAATATTATATTACATTATTTTAGAAAAAAGGCAGAAGTTTCGCTTTGGCATTTGACAAAGCTCTTTAGTTGTTAGAAATAGTTTTTCTTGTCTAACTCAAGGCAGTTTTCTATAAAAATTCATAATTTCGAATTCTTGAATCACTGTTTTATTTCAAAACTAATTCCTATATTCAATCTTCTCCAGAACTAGCCGAAAAACGTGCGGATCTGACCCAGCCCATAGTCTTCAAACAGCGTGTTAAGCAGCCCAACATCGAGGAAGATAAGTCCCAAACCGAAAACAGCAAGAAGACGGAGAAATCTGGAAAGAAATCTGAGAAGTCTAAAAGCAAGAAGTCCAAGGTCGCCAGCAGTAAGCTGTCCTTCAACGAGGACGAAGAGGACGATACGGCCGAGGATTGAAGATCAGATCAGTTATCCGGAAATAACTTTCACTAGCTTAGTTAACCCGCAGCGAATGATTAAGGTGAGAAATCTATGCTAGAAACTGTAAATGACTGTTAACTAAGATTTAGGTTTTCTTTGTTGCTAAGTGAATTTTGTAGGTTAAATATCGAGTTCTGCTTATTTATGTACGAGTATGTAGCAGAAATCAAGTCAGAATGACGCAGCCATTATGATAAACAACGGTTTTACATTTCGCATTCATAGGTTGACCAAAAAATTGCGAGGTTTTCAATATGTTTTTTTACTTTACAAAACCGAATTATATATGTAATATGTTTATATAGTGATTGGTGGCATTTTGTCCCAAAGTTGCATCAAAACCTAAAAACCCAAAGAAGGATTATTGTTGTTTTTAAATGTGTCATTAAAAGATTTAGATATTAGATCATCACAATTTTAAGCTTAGACACGTCAACCAAGATCATAAGTACATTGATTTAATATTATTTCAAATAAAAATATTCATATAATAATGTGAAACATCAGACAAGATTTCTTTAACTATTATTATACAAAGTACTAAGAAACTTGATTGACTTGGTAAAGCTTTAAATGAAAATGTCATAAAATGTGTTTCTGGGGATCGGATATTGATCTGATATTGTATATTTTGCTGATTAAGCAAAGGTTATATATTGATATATTTTCATTTTTTTGGTTTTAGTTGTAGAAATCATTGATAATCTAATAATACATAAATCATAGCATATCATGATCATGTATACCCAGAATAGTTTTGATCCTAGGTTGGAATTACGATAGCATTGCTCAATTAAAGTTATATTTAAGTTTATGGAAGTTTTGAATCAATCTCAATTAAGGTGTATCTTCTTGTAGTCTTCAAATTGTAGTCTGCGAATAATTAGCTTTAGATACAATTTAAAAATTAGGATCAAGCTCACGCTAAGTAAATAATTTTGTTCACCTTTTTGATCTTATAGACCAAATTTTAGAGATTTTTAAATCGAACCGCCATAGTAATTTTCGATTAACTTTGCATTTTGAATTATGTATGAATTGTCCAATTAAGTTAATATCGAAAAGGTCACGTGTATGTATAACACAAAGTGCGGCGATAGTTTGGTTTTGGGTTTGAGTTTGGGTTTTTAATGGGCCCACCGATGGTGATGATGGCGATTGGTTAGGTGACCGCATACCGTACTTCTTACTCCTTACTCCGGATGCCCTTCGACCTCTACAAAGTTGATGATCAGGGGGGTGGGAAGGGGATGGAAAATGCGCCAGAAGCGGGTTACTTTCAAATTTTGTACTTGCATATAGACCAAATCGTACAGACACACACAGTTACATATTAAGACCCTTACATACAGACATACATATTTAGTTGTATGTATACATATAGATAGGTATGTACGGTTGTATATATCCCGTTGCTGTGGGTGCGAAAGAGAGGGGCAGCGTAATCTGAAATAAGTTGGAGGAGAAAGAAGAAGCATCAGCAAAAGTATCGTGATGAGTATACAGTTTAAGACGCTAGTATGTGTTAGTTTGTGTGTGTAAGGTAAGGGGGGCGAAGAGGGGGGCAGCAGATTAATTTGCTATATTTAAGCTACACATTTAATATTTTTTCGCGCGCTCTGTTTGAATTTTTGCACATGCCAAATCGCATAAATCCATCAAAGTAAAAAAAACCGGCGACAAGCAATGCCGTTTCAGTTTTGTTTTGTTCATTTCGTTCGTGGCGCGCGTACAATTGTCAAATTTGTTTTCCCTCCCATTCCACGCTATTCCATTCATGCACACAGACATACACCCAAACACATGTGTGCGGACCATGCGCTTCACACGGTTATTCGCTATTTTAGAGAGCGTGCTTAATAGAGAGAGCCCTTTCCTTAGCCGGCAAACAGTTGCAAATATTTTTTCCGCTTTTTAATGAGTGAAATAAACATAAACGTAGCAATTAAATATGTAATTAATTGGGATTTAGCAATTTGTAATTGCCCGCTATCGATACCCGATAGCCGATATGAGCCATGCAACCCTGCGCGCGCCCCGGCTGTTCGTTGCAACTCTGTTTTTGCTTTTTCCGCCTCACACATTTCCAGTTTGTCTTGCCTGCTCGTTCGTTCGTTCGTCTCTTGTGTCTCCGCCTTTGGCGTTCTTTCCACTCAGTTTTTTTTTCCAACATAAAAAAAGCCCCAAAGTTTTCGGATTTTCCCCGGTTTTTAGCCACAAAAAAAGGATCCTTAATTTTTGACAGTATTTTTGTTTATTGTGATCGAGGGTGCAAAAGGGAGGCCAAACAAAACAACAACCTGCCGATTGTGACAGGAAATATGTAAATGTAAGTGCGGTTGAAAACAAACAATCATAAAAGCTGTTAAAAAATGTTTTTTGAATGGTACAACGTCTAGTTAAATTATATATAAAATAAGGTGAGATCCAAACCAACATAGAAGCAGAAAAACACACACACACGAAAGCAAGCGCCGCACTCACACACACATCTATAAACACTAGCGCAAAAACACGCTCCTGTACCAAAAACGAACAACAACAACAAAAAGTATACTCCACCACGCCGCCAGCAACAAAAACAACTAAAAAAGCTAAAGCCAAACGTCGTCATCCGTGCCACCCCCCGCACCTCCCCCTTAGCCTTTCCGACTTACATACATAGATATTGCCATTGTATATATAGATTTTATATATATGTGCAAGCGGTGTGTGTGCGTTTCTGTCTGTATGTATGTCAATCGTTTTGTTGGCTCTGCTCGGTAACTGTTCGTATGTACATATAAACATATATATATATATATGTTTTAAATATATATATATAACGGTGTTTGTTTATGCCAAAGTATATAAATTACATACATGTTCCGGAAAATAATAACTCCTTTGCCCTGTTCATTTTTTCTTCCAGTGTAATATTTACATACTTGCATTACATATTAAATTGAAATTTAGTTTTAATCCAATATGGCAGCCATTTTGTATTAAACCATTCTTTCAACTCCCCCCGCTTCCCGCTGCTTCCTCTTCTCTGTTTTTGGTCCGCCTTCTCTTAAATTCACCTTTTTTAATTCACCTAGATTTTCAAATATTTTTCGGTGATTGTTAATTTTTCGCCTTTTGTCTTTGCCCCTTTCCCCTTCTTTCTGCAGTTTTAGCTCTTTTTATTTTTACTCTTTGCCCGCTGCGCTTTGTGCTGCTCATTCGTTGCTTTTTGATACTTTAGTTTTCTTTTACGTGCCAATTTTTCCGGTTGGTCTAAAAAGAAGCTCCCCTTAATTTTCTCAAAAAAGATCTTTAACTGACTTTAGAATTTTCTTTACTTTCAATATGACTTACAGAAACACAAACAGCTGGAAGATAAACCGACTTGGGCACATTCCACGGAGCAGAGAACGGACCTCAAATGACTGAAGTCGATGTCGTTTTGCCGGAGGGCGTGGTCGAGCCCACGACAAAGCTTGCCAGCGCATCAAGTTCCCCAAAACAGTCGAAAACATCAGCAGTGAATGATGAGCAACGGGACAGAGCGGAGGGGGAGGAGAATCAGGTTGAGGAGCATGAGGAGGAGTTACCCTCCAAGGAAAAACTGGATCTCATCTCTACTGGTGAAAAGGACATCTCCAAAGAGGATGTGGCCCAGGCTTCTCCACAAGCTCCAGCGCCCGACGAGTTAATGGAGGTGGAAGAGAACGAGGAAGTCGAGGAAGTGGAGAACGACGACGAGGACTCACAGATCACCAGCAGCAGCTCCAAAGAGCCAAAACTGGATGAGGAGGAGGACGAAGAAGAGGCCACCACTAACGGGGACGTGGATCATGAGCCCGAGGACGAAGACGAGGCCGAGAAGATCGGTAGCACGGCGGAAAACAGTTGCGAGGCCGAAGATCCGCTAGGGGCAGCCACAGTTCAGGAGGAGGCGCTGGTTAGCGGGAAAAAAAACCATCTAGACGGTGACGATAGCCAGCCTAGCGAAGAGGACGACGAGGAAGAGCCCACGTCAAAGAAGGAAAATGGCTTTGACGCCAGCCCGAAACAGAAAGAGAACGGACAGGCCAGCTTATCAGAGGCCATGGGGGCAGTCGCCTCTTCCGATGGGGGAGTGGTCAACCTGGACGAGGACAGTGACGAGGAAATGGATCTCACGGACCACAAGGAGCCTGCAAAGCCTATTGAGAAGGCAGCCAAACCGGCACCCTCCAACGGTGGTGATTCCTCCGACGATGCAGTGCTGATAGCCTCCGACTCGGATACAGAGTCTCCAGCTCCACCGCCGCCTGTGAAGAAGCTTCCCCTATCATCGCCAGTAGTCAAGGCTACACCACCGCCCCCTCCTGTTCATGAGGATGAGGACGATGACGACGACGATGACTGCGTCGTGATTGAAGACGACACACCTCCAAGTATTTCGCCCAGCGGCAAACGCAAGAGCGACCTCGACGATCTGCATCTGCAGCCCAGCCACAAAAGGCAGCGCAGTTCGACGCCGTCGGGAATGGGCCAGCTGACCATCAAGGATGCCCGCTCGCTGATGCCCCACGATGGCAGTACGAGCTCTATGCCGGGACCACGGGATTCCATATATCCGGTTACTATAACGAATGCTGTGACGGGAGCTGCCACCAATTTGGGAGTAGTGCCGCCCAAACTGGTTCCCATGGCGGGAGGCATTGGTGCCAGCCCGGTGCAACTGAATCCGCCAACGCTATCGCTGACCGGACTGCCCAGCATGACTAACAATGCCAACCTGCTACCTGGCCTTACAGACGACATGTTCGTGCTAGAAGCGCCCTCTTTCATTGTGCCCTACATATATGAGAAGCCGCCGCACGAAAACATCTGCGAGGTGGTTAAGGCCATCGAGACCAAGTATGCGCTATCTGCTGAGGATTTAGCCGAGGCGGACAAGGGTGATGAGTTCGACATGATGACCGAGCAGAACAAGGAGGACAAGCCGGCGGATCAGGGCGATGAGGGAAGCAAGAAAAAGAAGAAGAAGCGGGGCGACGACGAATCCTGGTCGGAGCAGTCCGACGATGATGATGACGAAGACGACGACGACGACTCGGAGTCCGGAGTGCGCACTAAGGTGCTGATTAAGGAGGCAAACGACGACCTGAGTGCCCTTAAAGTAGCCATCAAGCCCGCCGCTGCCTTGGCCACAGCCGGTGGACTAGCGCTTAACAATCCAGGAGGCAGCAAACCTGGACAGGAGAACTACTTTGAGAGTCCGTTGGGCAAGTTCTTCATGGACATTGGCGTGGGCCTGGTGCAGGAGTTCGTGCAGGCGGATCTACTGCGTTTGCAGAAGCGCAAGATGCGCAAGGCCCAGGTGCAAGGAGTCCCCAAAGAGTTTGAGATGGCCATCAATGCACTGTCGGGCAATCTCCAGGCCTCCAAAACGAAAAACGCCCCCTTTAAGTTCCGGATGAAGCGCTGCGAGTTCTGTAATTTCAAGTCGGAATCGGCCATGGCCATGGCCAATCATTATGAGACGCCGCACATGAACGGAGTGTTGTACAAGTGCAATTTCTGCACGTTCGAGATCCGAAACGCCACGGAGATCGTTTACCACATGGAGGCGGTGCACAACATCAAGGCGCGCCTGATTAAGCCACTGCCCTACCACCAGTGTCCCAACTGCGGCTTCGAGGACAACGGCAAGGCGAAGCTGGCTCGTCATCAGCCTGTCTGCGCAAAGAAGTTCCGGCCGGAGTTGAACCTGGCGCCACCCAACGACTGGGAGGCACCTGCCAAGATACCGCGCATCAAGCCACGTCATGGTCTAGTGGGCACGGCCACAGCCTATCAGGTAGGAGTTTGTATATCTTAGATCAATGTGGATCAGCTGTTAATCCACTCAATCTATTTCAGGCAATGGCTGCGCAGGCGGCTGCACAAAAGGCCGCTTTGGCCAATATTCAGCAACAGCAGGCGGCGGCGCAGGCCAGGAATAATCTTCAGGCAGCGGCGTTGGCCGCCCAGAATGCGGCCAAGATGAGGCAACGAGCGCCACAGCCGCCCAAACAGAACATGGTGCGCAATCCGGCGCCTGTCCGCGGAGGCAATTCTATGAACGCAGGACTATCGTTGCCCAACAGTTACCAGTTGGCTGCAGGACAGCTTGTTCAGGTAAGCTAAGATACCACTTTGAAAATCTTTGAACACATATATTTAATTTTTTTTTTTAATCGCCTTATTTTTAGAAAAATTCATTGAGATTTTGTTGTTGTTATTTAACATAACTTAAATTTATTAGAATGTTAAAATTTGAATATATGTAAAATTTCTAATAAGAGATCCTTTCCTTTTCTCAAATGGGTATAAAAACTTCTTGAAAAAAAAAACGGTTTTAATCGAATTATCTGTTTATTAACTCAGGCGTCCAAGAAGCCGATGGCCGGACAGCCCAGTATCTCGATAACGCCATTACCTCGACAGAGCTCTGTGGGCGCCGGAGCGGGAGCCTCGTCCAGCAAGGCGCCTCAAGCGGCCGCAGGGATGAAGCCCGGCCAGAGTCCCAGCGGCAACAATAAGGCGCAGTTTGTCATCTGCGAGATCTGCGATGGCTACATCAAGGATCTGGAACAGCTGCGCAACCACATGCAGTGGATGCACAAAGTGAAGGTACAGCTGAGTTTCCATTTGTCCCCGTTTGCCCATTTGCTAATGAATATTTTTTTTAAACAGATTCATCCCAAGATGATCTACAACAGGCCGCCATTGAATTGCCAAAAGTGTCAATTCCGGTTCTTTACGGATCAGGGATTAGAGAGGCATTTGCTGGGCTCTCATGGTTTGGTCACAAGCTCCATGCAGGAGGCTGCCAACAAGGGCAAGGATGCCGGTCGCTGTCCAGTCTGTGGAAGGGTGCGTTTTTCTGATAATTAAGCTCTGGGTTACAGTGCTATAACTCTTATCTCACTTATATGTGACTCTTGAATGAGTAATTTCTAATTCCGCGACTTTTCCCCTGCAGATGTACCAATGGAAGTTGCTGAATCACGTGTCGCGTGATCATCACATGACCCTAAAGCCCGCTCACCTGTCCTACAAGTGCACCGTTTGCACGGCCACCTTCGGCATGTACAAACAGTTCGAGACACACGTTTATACCGCCCACAGTACCGTGGCCAGGAAGGCAATGGATAGCAAGAAGAACAGCGCGCAATCCAGCGGGTCCGGATCTGGAGCAGGGATGTCGCGCAGTTCGTTGGGAGCGGCCAATGACTCGCTGCTGAAGCCGCTTAAGATCAACGATGAGATCACCATCATACCCCAGCCCGCATCGAAGCCACGCATCACAAATATGGAGAGTCATGTCATAGGTTCGTTATTATCCAGATCGGAATTAAAGCTAAAATAATCAAATCGGATATCTTTGGACAACTCAACGCAATTTTAAAGTTAAAATTTAACGTATTTCATTTTTTTTAATGTAAGAAGTCGTTGAAAAGATTATTGGAAAAAAAAAGAATTCGATCAATTTTATTAAGTTACGTAAAGCTAAAATACGGCTTTTTCGATTATAACCCATTGCAAAAGCGGTTGATCATATCATAAACTAAATTGTTTATGAAACAAAAATTCTAAGAATTTTTTCAAGACAATTATTATCTTTTTAAAATATAATGTATTACCTGTAAATCATGCTTATATTTATATATTTTATTCTTTATCCGCAGATTAAAGAAAAGAGCGTGTTGGATCAACCAAAAACCTAATCTCGCAAAGTTTGCAGCATTAACAGCGCTTTAAAATAGTTTCGTTTTTAAGCCGAACGCGACCTTGCCGCCCCAAGGTCACGCCCTTCTACTTCTGTAAGACGAATTGTATAAAGAGCAAGAGTATAAACAAAAACCGAAGCGAATGAGGAGGAGGAGCAGACTGGAAGGCCGGAATGTTGGCCAGTTGGCCTGCGAGCCCTGACTAAACTAAAGTAGCCCGTACTTGGTGCGGTTTAATCACTAACACACCAGCTACAGGATACGCGATACACATAACGCTAACGGCATAGATACAGATAGAGATACTAGTTACGGATTTTAGTTACATACGTTTTGGAGTGTGCACATAAGTTGAAGTTGTAGCTACTACTAATATATACCACATACATACATATATATTTAACTATATTTAAAGCATATTATGAAGAAGCCGCCAGAGCGCATCGTCAGCATGATGACTATGTAAATTAGTTAAAAACTAAACTATTTATACGAAAATTACGATTATCCAAATGTGTGTTGCAGTATGTATATACATTTTGATAGGTCCCCGCCCACGTAAATGGCGTACTTTGTTTCGTTCTCTTCGAATCTTCTAGTTTATTTTTGCGATTAGTCGATGAGGCAATGCGGGAGTAATTCGGAGCGAGGCGCATGGGCTAGGACCCTTCTAAACTGATCTGAGAGTAGTTCGACATTTTAATTTTTGTGTACAAGTTTAAACTTATATTTATATTACACATTATCTATTAATATTAAAGTATATATCATCTATTACCGCCTAAGAATCCCCATGTACTACAGTTATAAAGTAAAACCACAACACAACCTACCAACCAACAAACAAACTGAAAATGAGAAAATTAAAAACCTAGTTAATATAAAATGCTAAGATGATAGAGATTTTCATTGCAATTGCGAGGGTTCCAGTCGGGCCTCTTACTTTTGGATCCACTCCATCATCCATTCCGCCGACGTCAGAGGTGAGAAGTGATCGGAATGCTTTTAGCATTCGCCAGTCACATGACGATTGAGACCACCTCGCACCGCCCGGAGACCAGATAACACCAGTTGGAAAGACAGACGCCTCATTTGCCTAGCACTAATGCGAAATTTATTTTTACTTTACAATAGAAAAGTGAAATTCCAACCTTGTGATGTGACCAAGGCCTGTCCTCGTCCAGTCTTTTCTAGCACTGTAGGTACTTAAGTGTGTGTGAAGCCATAAAACTAAGTAGATCTAGAGTATACGTATTTGTAGGTTGTATGGAGAGCAACGCACTGCATCACGATGAGATTCCGGGGAGGTACGCCCTAATCCTCAGGTTCCGTCACCTCATTATCGGTGGCCGGATTCACGGGCACGGACTGGCCAATTTGTGAGGAGGGCGGGAACAGCTGGGCCGCATGCGTGAGCTTGGCCAGCGCATCCTGATCCAGGATCTGTGGCTTGTCCGCAGCACTGGTGTTGGATCTGCTCAGCTGGTAGAAGGCGGTGTCGCTGTGCGTGATGTTCACAATGCTGCCGGTCAGGGGCAAAGTCTCCAGCAATTCTTGCGGGCTGCTGAAAGCACCCAGGTTCACGGGTGCAATTCCGGTTAGCACTTGGCCGGTGACGTTCGTCTGGATGGGCAGTGGAATGTTGCCCAGGTCAATGTGACTCTTGTTGCTGTGCGTGTCGTAGAAGGTCAAGTCCACGCGCTCCTGGCTCTCGAAACTGGTGTCATTCTCGCCCACCTCCGTCAGGATGCCAATCTCATAGACCACCGCCTTGACCACATAGCTAGAAAGGGGAACACAACCAGTTAAAAGCTTTTCTAAGCATTGATAATATCTATTGATTGTTTTATGGTTATTTCCCTATATAAAAAGATATCTATATTTTTTGTTTATAGTCAATTAACACTTTTTTATCATTGGAAAGAACTATAAATTATAATGCGTTCTAAAATGGTTTCTATTTTTATGAAATATCAATATATTAGAATGGGATTTCAAGTGTGAGGGTTTTTTTTTTATATATGGTAATTTCTGAAGCTAATGATGAATCATAATTAAACATAAATCATACTATGGTATGGTGTGATAATAAATATCACAAATATTAGGAAATTTCTATTCTAAGTTTTGATTGAAATATTTTCTATTTTATATTTCTATATCAAAACTTTAACATAACAGTTCAAAACTTATGTTGTTGGTACACATTTTTTAATAAACTTTTTAAAGGTTTATTTTTTTAATAAATCAAAGGGGCTTCTAGAAATTCGTGCTTAAAAACTTTGATGTAAAAAATGTAATACAAATATATGTGATCATTTTTACTTACAGATTCTTAGGGGTATCGTTAACACTGGCCCTCAGCTCCTCGATGGTGGCGTTGTCGATGCCCGAGCTGACATCCAAAACGGGCAGCGAGCCTCCGATGGCCAACAGCATGCCGAGCACGGCGGCTCCAAACACAGCCTGGTGGATCTGCATCTTTGGGATTAGGCTGGGCTTTTGGAAGGCTTGGGATGACGGCCTGCTGTAGCTCTGCTCTGGGATAGTGGCTCCGGTGCCTTGCTTGACTTTCGCGCGTTTAAAGGTAATTAGTGCAGATCGGGGCGCTTTTATAGCGATGGAGCTTCGGCTGGCGAGGCGCGATTCCGCGTAATTATCGGCATCTGTTAATTGGCCGACAGGTTTGCCACTCTCCGGGGTCTCCATCCCCAGTTTCTAGGCACCAAGTCCGAGTTGGCTTCCGTTTCGGCTGGACTGGCTATTGTTTTCGCGGGGCCCCAGACTCTAATTAATTGTGCCCGTTTTGGGAGCGTGTCTCAGGGACTGTCCCCGAGTCGAATCCCCACAAATATTGATCCATTCGCAGGTAAGCAAGGGCTGCCTACGCAAATCTCGCCATGTTGTTTACTCCTCGCATCGAACCTGGCCAAAAATAAGTCTATAAACATTGCACCTTAAGTGACGCATTTGCCGGGATTATTGCATGTGGCCTGGACACGCGCACGTCTGCCAATTGATGTGAGTTTCCATATTACGCATACGCCCCGGCTGACGTAGACATGTGCTTCGACCGCAAAATGTCCAGAAACGTTTGCATTTAGTATGCAATGTGAAAGTTATCTTCATCACATGCTAAGCGAGCTTTTTAACCTTTTAATAATACTCATACGCCCGGTGTGACAAGAACATATCAAACTTTGGCAATTTGCATGAAACTAGAAACCTATTCTTAAAACCGTTTTCTACCTTAATACAATCTATCTTCAGAAAACAACGGATTATTTGAAGGATTAATTTATTTAAAGACCGTTGTTGGTGGACATTTATTACCATTTAAGAAATTTAAAAGAAAAAGTGATGATCAATTTAAGTAAAACTAAAAGGAAGCACCTGCAAATTTTTTACAAAGTTATTTAACTTATTGCTATTATTTGTATAACTTGTATACAAAATAAAACCTTTCTAACTATAACTTAATATAACATAAAATAATTTATCCTGTAATTTATTACCGTAAATTAATCTTCAGTTTAATTTATCTGAAACTTAAAATGTTTCTAACTTCTAAGAAGATTAGATGTACCATTTAAAAAAACTATTCTTAAATCCAATAATTCCGAATCTGGACTGTACTGAAATTAGCATTTTTCAGACCTAGAATTAGTGTTCAGGGTGGAGACATTGCGCAGATCCCCCGCCAAATGCCTCATAAATTTGTAAAAAAATTAAAAACTTTTTAGATTTTTACTACCCACCGGGTATTCAAGTTATTTCGCACTAGAGTTAACCGCTTAAAGCCGCCCATTCTCCGGCATAACCAGCCCGATCTTGACTTTCATTCATGACTGCCCAGATTCGGCTATATTTTTTCGGGCTGCAGTCTTTCTCCGGCGAATCGAAGCCGCAGTAAACGTTTTGCGGTTTTTCGACATGGAGGCCAATCGGTTTCCAGGCACGTTTCTTCAACAAGTTTTCACCTGAGCATGAACCTTTTGTCTCAGCGGAAAATTTTCAAAATTAATTTGCACATTTCGCATATCAACTTTGTGCCCAGGTGATCTCATGGCGACCGCTCTAATTATGAAGTGTTAAGGAGGCGTAGTTGTAAGTGGTCCAAAGTGCAGTCATCTGAGGGATACAGAAGCATCACATAAATATATAAATATACCTCGTAAGTATTTTGCGGTTTATAGCGTGTTGGACATGTTTTCTTTTTTCCGCCGATTGTTTTGGCCTTTTAAAGCCTCCAGACTCATCTTGTTTTTATTTTTATCGGCTTCTTGGAATTAAATTGGGCGTTATTTTAGTAGATATATGTTAATTGCCACAATTAGGACAATCAACTTGGATTCAACAGCGACGCTTTCAGGTGTGTTTTAAAAACTCCTGGGTCATATAGCACATTTTACGATCTCCAATTTGTGAATCCTTGGGATATATTTACAATTTTAACTAATTGAACTAAATTCCCTGCCACGTGAAGGCTTAAAGCATTAGCATTAATTTGGATATTTGAATCAAAAACTGCAGTGAAGATGTTCTAACGTCAGAAAAGTGTTTTCGAATTAAGTCAGATAATTAGATTAGATGTTGAAGCGGAAATATACTGTTTTTAGAAGATGATGATGAATGTGATTTATTATTATAATTATAAAAAATTTTAATGAAAGTGTCATTTCAAATTAGATTATTATAAATTTGCTGAATTTTGTATTTTCTTCCATTTTTAGAGCTTCTTTTTTGCCAGTGTCGAAATTTCGGAGCTGGACAACAAACAGAACACGAAGGAATCAAAAAATAGTATAGGTTTGGGACCAAACATCGAGGGAGCAGCACGCGCAGGCACCAAAACAAGTTCGGCAAACCAAGCGACTTAAGTGCTAACTGAACGTAATTACAAAGCTTAGCCGCAACTTTCGATCGGTCGTTCGGCTAGCGCCGGAAAACTTTAAAAACTCGCTGGCCACGGGGCGGTAAACTTATTTCCGATCTGAGCTTGGAGCTGAACACAACTCAACCCATCCGGACTAAATCACCAGTAGCAATGGCCATGAAGTGCACTTTGCTAACCACCGTGAGTATTGATATATCAAGGAATATTAAATGGTACAGTTGGGAGACCTACAAACGAAAAAAAAAGTATACATTCTGTTAATTAAAGTCCTCAATCTAATATGATTTTGATTCTTTTTCTGATAATCCACTTGATGAAACCATAACCCGATTGAAACAACTATATATATTTTTGGAACATTTTTTATTATTTTCTATTCTAATTCATGTCTTGAAATCAAAAAAACAATTAAAGATACCATTGTGACCTAAAAGTAATATAGGATAAACTACATACATTTTAAAGATACTTTTTATAACTATTTATTAGGATCATGTTGTTATATCCATTGTTAAATTTTGAAATCCTTTTCCTTTTTTAGTTGCTGGCGACCCTGGCGGTTTCCTCCTTGGCCGCGCCCTTCGATTTGGGTGATCTCTTCTCGGGCTTCCAGCCGTTGGAGAAACAGGAAGTGGTCAAGCGGCAGGTGCAGGCCAATCCCGATGCCGAGCTGAAGCAGATCTCGTTCCACGGCCTGATCGGAGATCTGGAGGACAGTCTGTTCCAGTCCGCGTTGAGCCTCCACCAGGCCAGTGCCCCAGGAAGCGAGGTGGAGGAGGTGAAGCCCGAAGCCGCGGCTCAGGTCACAGAGGATGAGGAGCACGCGCTGACCAAGCGATCGGATGAGTCCACGCCGGCCCCAGATGTGGATGCCTCGTCGACGGACGACGGCTTGGCCCGCAAGATTCTGCTTCAGACCACCAGGAAGGTGCCGAATAGTGAGGATGGTGTGCCCGCCCACCTGATCATCGACCATGTGTCCGTTCAGCCACACAATGGTGGTGCTCTGCCGCTGATTCCCACCTTCCAGGTGCACCACACCAAGCTGATCTCGGCCACCATCAAGGAGGACTCGAATAACGACAGCAGCGATGGCAAGCAGACCAAGATTAGCATTACCAAGACCTCGATCACGTCCACGGCTCCCATCGAGAGTGTGGAGGAGGCGGTGGCCATTGCCGCATCCGCTTCCACAGCGAGTACCACGGAGGAGCCCTCCACAAAGGTGGAGACCACCACTAAGGCTGCAGAAAAAGAGGACGTGGACAAGAGCTCCACCACCATCTTGACCATTGTGAGCAGCTCCACCTCGGCAACCACTTCCACCACCACCGAGGAGCCCATCCAGAAGCTAAAGAAGGACGAGGAGAAGCTCAAGGAGAAGGTGGCCGAGGTGGAGGCCGATCCCGTCATCCTATCGGCTCGCGTTTAAGCCAGTCGACCCTGTGAACCCACTAGTTGTAGTCCATCTTCGCCCCTCATCCCCCTCTACTCACATATTTATGACACGCCAAGTTCAATTAAAGTCATGTGATCCGATCCGAGGCTTCTTTATTTGCATTCCCAATTCACATGCCGGGGATCTCTGCCAAATTTGAGGCTCTAATTGCTCGGCTAAACACAGGCCCTAATGAAGCCAGCGGTTCACCCAAGCATGCACGATTCACCCGAAACCAAAACCTTCCCAGAATTTTCGACGGGAAAACCCCACATCCGTATGCAAATATAGTATCTGTGCAAAGCAAATTGTACTATCTGGTTCTCACGAAACGCGTTGCAAAATGTGGTCTTCAATTGGGTTAATTAAACATTGCCAAATTGTTGGCGGGCTGAACTATCCAATCGATGTGTTTATATTTGGCCCAAAGTGTTAATCAGCTTCATTGCACGATGACCAACATCATTAGTCAACAAATTGCAAATCAATTGTTTGCATTTTGATTATACGATTGTAGGGAAAGCGGTGTGCGATTTTATTTGGTTTTGATAAAGTTAACAATACTTGGCAAACTAACTTTAACGCCTATAATTAATGGGAATTAGATTCTCTAGATTATATTTCAGAAGCATTTTTACATATGTTTAAAAATTAGGTAATATTGTCAAGATGTTATCAAAACTAAAAAATATATAAATAACATTTTATTTTGAGTAATTAATATATTTTGTATAATAATTTTATTAGTATTTCCTTATCAATTGACATTTTATTGGTAATTTCCGAATAAAGCAGATAATGATTGTACCTGTCTCGTGTTGTCGGGTTCTATTTTAGACTTCTAAATGAGTAGAAAAATTAGAATAAGATATGCAGAAAAGAATCTTAAATATAAAGTTATACTTTGGCAACTTTTAACTATAAATTCGACCTACCTCTTTTCAGAAGCATTTAAATTTAGGTTTGATAATAAAAGTTACACCCTAGAAGCCATAAATATTATATATAGTAGTAGTAGTAGGTTCAATAATATTTTGAGGTGTGAATTAAATTGGAGGGGCGAGCTTATATTTTTCAGTGGCAGAATTTACAAAAAGTAAACATCGTTTATCAATTCGTTTAACGGAGTAAACATTTTTCATGAATTTTGTATTAGGTGTATTATGAATCACCTCCGATAAAGAAATCCCCTGCACTCGCACTCAATCACTTACAACTTATAAAGATGATAGCTTTGAGTTCACGAGCCAAAAAGCTGAGAGTCCGAGTATCAAGTATACGCAACGTGAGCGAGAAAATTGATAAGTCAGTCGTCCGCGTTCTGATAAACTCGCCATCAGCTGTGAGTTTAATTTTAGTTCCTGCTTACTGTCGTGTACCTTTATTTATTTAGCTACCTGGGGGCAGGTTCGCCCATATTTGCTCTTTTGTATATCTATGTTTTCCCAATGATAAAGCTGAAAAGCTTTTTGATAACACATTCAATTTGTATTACAAAATTAGCAAAATATTTGCACTTTTGGTATTGTGCAACTGTAAGGCACAATCTGGGTAGTCACCGTATTTGATAGCAGGTGTAACCCTTAAAATTTCATTAGGTTTATCTTATCGCTCTGAAAAGAGCGGAGCGTTTTGGAGACCCGGACTCGATGGCCATTCGATGGAAGAGCTCAGTCCAAAGGAGGCAGCCGGCGAATGCGTTTCGCCTTCCATTTTTCACCTCCGAAAAAGCCGCGAATTGAGTTCCATCGGTGAGATAACGATTGGTGATTTAGTGAGTGTTTTTCTGTTGTTTATGGCCAACATTGCGTATACTTTATTGAAGTGACGACAACGTAATTTCCCCCTGTGATTCATCCAATCGAAGAGATTAGACAGTCGTCCTCAAGTGTAGCAAAGAAATTGGCCCAGGAATGATTGAGCTATCCCGATTCAATATGCAAAATCCCCCTAAAAACTAATCAAGCTGATTAGATATCTCTCGCATTGACGAATTGTAATTTCAAATTGAATTTATAGCCCCAAAGCGTGCGTTGTCTTATCGAGTAGGCAATTGGCTGGCCCAGCGATCACAGGTTGCACAACCCATTAACCGGAATAGCAAATATCCTATAGTTATAGTATAGAAACACATCAAGATGGCGAGCATGGGCACTGGCTTTTCCAAGTGCTTTATACTCTTCATGGCGATTGTCATACTCGTAAGTACCATAAAGATTTGTCCACATTCCTTTCCGGTTAGTCATTATAATCACGAACATGTGCTCTAGGTCCAGGGAGTCGCCTATTTGGGCTTGTCCATCTGGGGCATCACCTTCCGGGAATGTCCGGATGGGGTTACTGACTTCAGCGAGAATCCCTTCAAATATGCTATGGAACTGATTTACTTTACGGGTGAGTTACTATAATATGAGTTGAATTCAGAGGTGCCAAAGGAAGCCAAATTGATAAGCTTCAAGGTGATCAGAAATAAGTTTCGGGTAGGAACTAATTTATTTAAAGTGAAACTATTATTTACTACACTAAAATTTTTTTGAAAAATCAATTATAGTTATCATTATGGTCTTAGTGCATTCAATCATCATAAGTAACAACTTATTCTCCATTAAATATCTTTAGAAATAAAAATCAACCAAACCTAGGATTTTGATTCTGGAGTTGTGTTTAGAATATTAAACTAAAATAAGGCAATTTCTTAGAGTAAAATGGCATTTTTGATAAAGAATTATTGTAATCATTTATTTCCAATTAAATATTTTTATAACAGAACAGGAATGTGGTGATCCTGTGCTGAAGGTAAACCAAATTCAAGTGGACTTAAACATGGATTGGGCTAAGTCCTTTGCCATAACCAACCGGGAATTCATTTTCATGATAACCTATGCAGTGGTAAGTGGACTTTGGGTAGCTACTTCGGTACTGGTAATTAGTGAGTATCTCAAGAGGGTTTTTAGTTTTTAAAATGAATAACCAAGGATTCATTACAGCCACCTTGTGTAATCGCACCACCAAGCTGATCTCCGGAGTGGTCTATTGGCCCTGGTTTTTATCCGTTCTCGCAGGCAGTATCCTCGATGTGGTGGCCTCAGTGTATCATGGAATCGACTTAACCCATACTACGGTTAGAAAAGTAATGCTCCTTACCCTATGAACAAATTATGATTCTTTCCATTTCAGTCCATGCAAGAAGCACTCAATTACATTGGAGTTAAATATACTGATACTGCCAGTGAAGTTTGGAGCGTCATGGAGCCATTCGGTGTTTACTTTTCGACGCCCTCGATTTTGTTGCTGTGCCTCACCACCCGCGTGGCCATCATCTGGCTGTTGAACATCATTGGAGTCAGCTTCTGTCTGTCCTTGTCCGGTATAATGGCTCAGCAAAATGCCGCCAAAGCCGCGGTGAGCAGGAGTCAGGCTCCCACCCGCCAGCCGACTCCACTGCCAGTGCCTGCGGTGGTCCAACCGGTGGTGGAGGCCACTCTAGTGCAGGCCATTCCGCCCTCGGCCCCGCAGGAAAGCCCCCAGTATCCGGAGCAGATCCGCCCCAAGCCGCTGCCCATCTACATTCCCTCGGAGCAGGGCGTGCAGCGTCAGGACTCCCGGCCGTATGCACCCGGAGATCGCACCACTCTGCAGTCGCCGGTGATGGTGCTGCCGCCGCAAGTTCCCCAGCAGAGGGATGTGGTCTCTCCCCAGCCGGACATCAACACCTATCGCACCACCGAGGCCCATCCCGATCGTCTCAATTATCCACCATCAGAACCACCAACGCCTCGAGCTCCTTCACCGGCGGTCCAACAATTGGCAGTGACTTCGCCGCTGAACACTCGCTACAGCGAGATGTATCCGGCTCCAGTTAACCCACGTGTCAGCGAGGAGCTGCGCAACCAGATGCCTTGGTCTTACACTAGCATGGTGACCAAACCTCCACCGCCGCCACGCAAGCCGAATCTGCAGGTGCAGATCTATCCGCAGATCCCGGAACCCGACTATGCGGATCACTAGTGCATAAAGTAGTGGATGCAGCTCGGAGCTGATTTGTGGTTAATCAGCCTGGATGCGCGGTTGTGAAAAGTTTTGTGTTATTGTTAACTTTATTGCATAAAGCTAAAGCTGATGGCCAACTGAATCGCTTATTCTTTCTTGTGTGTCTTGGGGAAATATTCCCTTCAGAAGACTCTCTTTGTGCTGGCTATAATCCGCTATAAGCTTTAGGGCTTCATTAATGTCTAGTTCAAGTTTTTCACCTTTGCTGAGGTGCACTTCCAGTTTGGGCGATCCCTGATGAGCAGCCTTTGCACCCACTACTATGATGAGCGGATGGCCCAGCCGCTTGGCTTCCAGCAAACGTTTGCCTATCGTTAGTTCCTTGCGATCATCGTGGAGCAGCTCCTGTTGGCCACAAAGTTCTCCTACTTGTAATAGCAGCTCATTCTCGATCACCTCCGCTGCGGGCTGCTCCTTGCTGCCCTGTTTGGGTCCTATTAAACACACATCGTAGGGCGCTAGGAGTCTTGGCCAATGAAGTTCTTGTTCCGAAGAGAGCACCTCCAGAGCAGCAGCTATAACCCTGCTGATTCCAATTCCATAGCAGCCCATTACAAGGGATTGTGGCTTGCCAGAGGTGTTTAGAAAGGTAGCACCCAAGGGCTTGGAGTACTTGTCTCCCAACAAAAAGGTGTGCGCCACCTCAACTCCTCGAACTTCTTTTAAATCTGAGCCTTTACAACTTGGACAGGAAACTGGTGATCCTGGTTTGACATCCAGGACTTCAGAGTTGCCAGCAAAGCCACAAGAGCTGCACTGCAGCAGGGTGTCCTCGCCAACGGGCGATATATAGTGGTACTCGTGGGATACACTGCCTCCCATCATTCCCGTAGCGGCATTCACTAAAAATTGTTTTAGATTATTATCTCTATTAACCTTTTTAAATTGTAGTTATACCGACCCTTAACAAAGGGAACCTCCAGCTGTTTGAACAACCTATCATAGGCAGCACTGACTATGGAATACGTTTCTCTGGCTGTTTCCTCGGAAACATCAAACGAGTACATGTCCTTCATTAGGAATTCCTTGGCTCGCATCAAGCCAAATCGTGTTTTTAGCTCATCCCGGAACTTGGGACCGATTTGGTAAAGCCTCAAGGGCAGCTGGCGATAGGAAATGGGTGAAGTGGTGGCCAGCATGGCCGTGACTGCCTCCTCGTGGGTCTAATCATGGAAAGATAATTAGAATTGAATCGGGAATTGGGATATCTACCCACTCACTCACTGGACTCATGAGGAACTGCTTGCCACTGCGATCCCGCACCATGTAGAACTCGGAGATGTCCCCATCGAGTCGCCCTGTCTTTTTCCAAAGATTTGTGGGCGTTAAAATGGGCAGGGTGATCTTCTGACCACCAGCCAGTAGCATGTTTCTTTGAACCAAGTCAATCATCTTGTCCACCGATCTCTGGGCCATGGGCATTATCTGGTAGGTGCCATTACTGCCCGATTTCACCAATCCCAGTTCAGTCAAGAGCTGTTAAATTATTAGACTTAAGTAATACTTCTTCTTTCGTAACACCTGCATTTTACCTTTTGGCTGCGAGACAGTTGCTCCGTCTGCTTGACCACCGCATTTTTGGGTGTAACTAGAGCCGGACAGAAAAGTCGAGAGGCTTTATTCATCTTTTTATTTAGTTTAGTTAGTTAGCTAGTTGTTAACTTATAAAAACGCCGGTAAATAAAATGCAAAACAATAAATGCTAATGGCCAGTGTGACCACAGTTGGAAAATGAAATATTCCTAGAAAATGTGTCACAGTAAACACTCGATTCAGTGAAAAATATCAAGGGTGCTAAGCTGAAAGACTTCGATAATTGGCTGTAATAAAATAACATTTTAAGTGCCTTCTTAGTTTTGATTTTATGGTTTATATGATTGGTATAAACTATGATAAGTATATTATACAATTATAAGTGATCAGCTTGGACATAGAGATATATAAAAAATAAAAATTTAATAGTTAAAATAAAATGAATAATCATATTATTTCTGGCCTGAAATGAAGAGCAATATTTAATGGTAAATGGTCGTAGACATCTGCACAAAATAATCTTAGAGGCTTATAAAATCGTGATACTAAAATAAAACAAAAAAAAAATGTATCATAATGGGATTTTTATTTTTTGTAAGAACTATGAATACAAATTCAATCTAAGAAATCATTTTTCCATTATTAATACAAGTAGTTAAGAACAACAAAATAATATATAAAATGAATTAATTATATAGCGCTAACCTATACGTTTATTATATACAAGTACCTAACTTTTTAATATTTATTTTTTATTATGTTTTGATTTATTTTAACGTCACGCAGCTGACGTCGCTCCCCCATCCCTAAAACATTCCATAACTAGCCGGGTTTTTGCCCTTTCCAACACTAGTATTTGGGAATAATATATTATAACTCACTTCAAAATGAATTTGAGTTTTCAGGACTTGTACAAAAAGGGTCTGGATATAGGCGAGCAGCAAAGGCGGCGCCAAAAGGACCTTCTTAAGCAACAGAAGCTGCGCCGCCAGCAGGAACAGGATGACTCCCGCCCCCTGCAAAAGACCGGGAAAACGCAGGCAAAGAAGAAAAGCAGAAAACGTGCCGGCCACCAGAAGGGAATCCCCTGGAGACCACAACTTTCCGAGTGGTTGCGCCACAAGCCCGAGGATCTCAACGAGTGGCTGCTGGTTCCCTGTCCCACGGGCAAAAGATGCCTTGTGGTGGCCAGCAGTGGGATCACAAAAGCGTATTCCAAAAGCGGCTGGATGTTCATGGAGATGCGATCTTCTCTGCCCGGCGATTGGCAGCTGCAAAAGTCCCAAACAGTCCTTGACTGCGTTTACGTGGAGGATGCAGACACCTTCTATGTGTTGGATGCCATCTCCTTTGGTCAGCAGAATTTGCAGGATTGCCAGGCATCCTTCCGTTTCTATTGGCTGCGCGCTCGCTTCGAAGAGAACGATTTTGCCAAGATTGGCGAGCACAACGAGAAGCCATTTGTCCTACTAGATCACCACGACTTCGAGGACACCTCTGCTGTGGAGCAGGTCCTGCAAAAATACCCCATTTTCCCGGAAAACAAGCCTCCTTTAGATGGTTTCCTGTTCTATCACAAAGATTCTAGTTATGTGTGCCAAGTCACACCCTTGGTTTGCTGGCTATTCCCCTTTATGATGCAGGATTTGCTAGGTCTACCCGTAAATTCATCTTACACATCTCCAGAGGACTACCAGTCAAGCCAGGCTCTTCATTACATGGACGAGTTCGACCGCAAACTAGCAGAGCAGAGAAAGCAATTCAAGGAGCAGAAAAAGGCAGCTAATGTGCAAGAGTCGCAGCATAACACAATGGAAGCGGAGGAGGAAGCTGATAGCGATGAGTTTGCCAGCCTGAAAGGAGTCCTCGATCATCAGCGGCGTCTGGAGCTCGGGGAATTCGACATGGACTGTGCGGAACCGCCGACAGCTGATGTCTGCTAAGCGAAATGGGTGGCGGTGTGGGGGTGGCTTTCCTGCGCAGGCGCTTTGAAAACGCTGCCCTGGACAAACGGCCTCAGCTCGCGCCCAGGAAAACCAGCCCAGATTGCGGCCAGCCCATAATCAGCAAACCAAACTATTAAATTGCTAAAAACATATTTAACCAAAAATGGTCATTCAGCGAAGTTGGAAAATTCCCACCGATGTGGGGGGTTCCTTAAACACTAACAACACATCAGCGAACGAAGTGCAGCAGCGTTCTTCTCCGGGCATGCAACTGCAGGCAGCAAACTCCTCCTCAGATGACTCCGACTGCTCCAATCAAACCACTCATTCGATGGACACTCGGGTGGCCAGTCCAGTGGAGGGGGGAGAAAACCGGCGGACAAGGATGCGACTGCAGAAAACAACACAATCACGTTGTCGCTGCTGGGCGAGTCCACATCCTCGGATGCGGAGTCCTCGCAGGTCGGTAATTAAAAGTTTATTTATCCATCCCCGTTGCTAAGTTTGTATTTTTGTGCAACCCAGAAATATGTTACCACTCCAGAAATGGCGGAGAACATGTTGCAACGCATTCGCCAACGACTCGGTGGTTCACACAACACGGAAAGTGGCGGCAGTGCGGAGTCGGCCATGAGAGCTCTGGAACTTCTGAGGATTAGTGTACAGCAAACCTTCGATGCGGAGGTCAATGAGATAATCAAACGTTATATGCAAGTATGTTAAAGACGGTTTTGGGGTGTAAACCTTATCTAATTTTGCTTTTGTTTACTTAAACCAGAACTTCTTTAAGCCCGCCTTTGGCAATATCAAGGAGAATCTTGGTCAGCATTCGGTGAATGAGGAAACGCTGCAGAAGATGTCATCATGTGCTTTGTTGGAGAATGCCAAGGCTCAGTACACGAACTTTGTGCGCCAGCATCGCTTGGTGCCTGGAGCCTCAGAACAGCAGCGCTTGGCACTCAAACGCACAGCCAAGCAGGAGATTAACCCAATTAACAAAGTATTTGCTGGAAACACCGGCTTTGTGGCCACCAAACCCATGCCCTGCACGGCGACCACGGCCAACCAGTTGCCAATCCAGAACCAACAACCTGCTGCACAAATTTTGCCACCTCAACAACCGGAGTTGCAAACAGTTCAGCCTCTGCAGCAACAGCAGGAACCAAATCAGGCACAAAACCAACAGCAACAGCAGCATCGCTCAACGGTGACTCCGCTGGTGGGTGGAACCCTGCCCACTCCCGTGCGCAGGCAGATATTTTGGAACACAGCACAGATCTCGACCACCACCAAGTTCGTGCTGGATGTGCAGGCCAATCTGGCCTTTGGCTTTGGCACCGACGGCAAGGAGCGATTGGCCAGCAAGCACCCGGAATTGATACGATATCTGCCAGATGGTGAGGACAGGGAGTGGCTGGCCACTCGAGGCATTATTCCCGCCGAGAATCGCAGTTCTCGGTTCCTATTTCTTATCCACGATGAAGTCTGCCGGCTGCAGCAGACCCATGAACTGTATCGCCACAAAACCAACATTGATCTCAGCATGATGCTTACTTTTAGTGTCACTGATGCCATGATACACAAAATGAGGCTATTCTTTGTTGATCTGAATATCAAGAGCCGTGGGCTTATAACCAACTCGTACATTATGCCCAGCCAGCAGCAATCGGGAAATGCCAACAACAGTCATTTGAGAAATGCCCTGCTCCAGGGCGCTTCAGGTCAGCAACAACAGCAGCAACAGCCGCAGCAACAACAGGTAGCCACGCCGCCGGCTGAAGAAGTGGTGCTTAAAGAACTGCCGGCTGCATCGCCAACTCCTTGCCTGCAGGGTCAAGTGGTGGGCAGTACCACAACGCCGCTAAAGACCAAGCTGGTTGCCAGTTCCACGCTTAGTTCCTCGCATGCCACACTTACGGCGCTACTGAACAACGGAGGAGCTGTTGTGGGAGCAGCTCCTCCAGGAAATTCTGCTCCCAACACCATCGGAAAATTTAGAAATTAAGACGAGTCAATTAGATTTGGTTATTTTGCCAAGGAGTTACCAACTAAAACTGCTTTATTCTATATATTTTAAATCAAAAACTTGTAACACACTTTTGTTTCTTTAAATTTTGTTTTATGCTGCGTTAGCACGAATAGCATTAATAAATGATTGAAGTTTAAATAAGGTATCCTTAAATTTTTTTAATTAATTTTTTATAACCCGTAGAATGTCAAAAATTGTTTGCCTAAATTGTTGACTTGTAGGTTGTTTATTCGTATATGCCACCTAAACCCTCCCACAATCATAGACAATTTCAAATAAATATTTGATGTTTATTGAAACTCAATTTGATATACATATAATGTGGGTCTCTTTTGGTTTTTCTACAGTTATTTTAAATATAATAATATATATTTATAATATGTACGTTCATATTCATATAGTTCACATCTGTGTATATTGTTTTACATAGTGTACGCAGGTAATGGCTAATTATTATTTTAACAAGTAGTAGATTTGTGTTCTTATAAGCCTTGCTATAGCCCACTCTGCACTTTTAAAGCGCAATCCTCCCCAGATTCCTGTTCCTGCCCAACGCTACACGCTGATATGGTGTCATTTTTACAGTATTCAAAGTACTCGATACCAACATTCGGCCAAGTACAATAAGTAATAGTAGTCGTAGGATTAGAGTTAAGAGTTTAGTAGAAAAGACCAAAAATACCTAAGAGTAGTTGATAGCAGCAGTTCAACGCGCTGAACATTAGTAAGTAGTTTTAATTTTGAGATAGCACAACCATTTTAGTTTTCGTTACCCAACTACGTATATAAAACAACAGCCAGATTGTGAAGAGTAATTAGCCAACCGAAGAAACAGGAATATCTTTGTGTGTTCCACTTTTACCCTGACTACCTTGACAACTACCAAGTACTTACAAGATACAACAATGGATTATCTGGTACTAAGTATTTTTCTTAGGGTTTTTTTTAAAGCAACATCTAACAATAAGAAAAGCCCGCAGCTGCCCTTGAAACAGATACAGATACAGATATAGAGACTATATAGTTGCCGTAACGGTTAAAGAGTCGTTAAGCTTTCACACAAGAAATGGTTCTCAGCTTAAGGACATTTTTAGGTACCGTAACTGGCGTTAAAAGTGTTTAGGACAGTAAAAGTTCCACAATCTTTGCTGCAGCTTAAGTACTCTAGGCAATACGACTCAAGTGTAAGCGTTGTATAAATAAATCTATGTGTTTGTAACTTTAGTTTGAAACTCCAAGTCGTTAGGCTGAACGTTGATATAAGATATTAGATATTAGATTTATACACAAGTTCCGAAAATGTAAATTTTTCACTTTTTTTCATTACACGAGATTGTCCTGTTTTTGTGTGGCTGCTAAAAGCGTCTGGAGAGTTTGAAAAACGGGTGGAAATGTGGGGAAAAATAGGAAGAGGGGGTGTCTTTAATCTGCTGTGTTGCAATCAATGCCCTACCATAAAATGACTACAGTAAATTCGTCTTAATCACGCTTTAATCGCACTCAATTCTCACATCCACACAAGCACACACCCACAAAGATTGTCGATTTAAACTAGATATCTTTCGTTCAGTTTTTAGATTTTCAAATTTTGGGTTATTCAATTTGTAGATAATCAGATTGTTAGAGCCTCAGATTTATAGATCCTTTTTTTTAGAAGTTCGGATTTCGTGTTTGTGGAGCAGTTGAAACCTTGGCGGGGTTTTCAGCTGTTCAGATAGTTGGGGCTAGCCTATTTGGTTTTATTGGCGCAACATTTAATTAACACTTATTCGGATATATGTCTTGGTTAGCTAGCAAGCTTTAAATCCCTCTCTCTTCGTTGCCTCGAAATTTCAACATTATTGTTTTGGTGCCCGTTTCGCTTCCATTCTCCAATCTCCATTCCTCACTTTCAAATGCGAACTACATTAAACTTTCACAAACACAACAAGCAAAAATATATAAGCGTGTGTATATATGCTTCTGGTACTCTGATTCCTCATTATTGTGCTGTCTGATATTGGTTTTCCCCGATTTAGTGCTGCCTTACCTGTGTACCTTACTTACAAAGCTCTCTCACCACGAATGTATTATATATGGTATATGGTATTTAGTGTAACATAACCCGACCGATTCCACCTGCCAGCCCGTGCTAAGCTCATTTGACTATAACTAATACATACAGGGGACGTAATGCCTTAATGGGGGATATGTCGGGGTAACAATATATCAATATATATACGGTGTCCATATCTTAGGCGCTAACAAATTGAGCTTGCAGTGACGTAATCTCCGACTCCTTGGGATTCCGGCACTGCCTGTGGATTGGGATGACTGCTGGGTTGTTCGGTCAGGGAGAGTTGTCCGAGTCGGAGCCGCCGTAGCTGTGCATCGGGAATAGTGGATACCATCCGTTGATGGGCTGCCCGATGCTCACCTTGTCCAGGTTCACCTCCGTGCCACCCAATCCCTGGTTGTGCTCGAAGCCCACGCACCGCTGCCACACCATGATGACGATGTTCCGACCAAAGACGTCCGAGCTCTGTATTTGCATGGAAATTCGTTATCGTTATTCGCTGTTCGTTTGGGTAATTACATGGCCACCAATAAAAATATGGCGCGTGCCCAACGGGGCGCATCCATCTGTGATAGGTTAACCCTCTGTATACCAATGGGTGAGTTTACTTACTTCACATTTTAAAACATTCATTTGGATCAATACAAAAATAAATAATAATCAACTAGAGTAGATTTTATATATTTTAGGTGGTCACGGGAATTTTTCCAAGTTAAGCGCAAGTGAAAATGAAATCAACCTGTGGACTTTTAATTTTTTAAATCTTTGTATAGTAGAAAACTTTTACATTTTTCAAGCGACTTATATCAAACCAAAGATCTATAAATTGGAACATAATTAATGTAGTCTTTAAAAAGTATGCAATTAATTCACATAAATTAAAAAAATGCTTGAATATATATTTTACAATGAGAAGTGAATTAACAACGTTAAATGAATTAAAGCCTATACAAATTTTAAAAATAATTATTGCTTAAATTTTCTTGGATTTATTTATTATGAAAATCAAAGAAGATTGAAAGTGATTTCTGTTGGGGACCTATTATTTTTGTTAAAAAACGGATATTGGCATACAGAGGGTTAATTCTGGGCCACCAGCTACCCACTGGTCGCGGAATTTGGCCTCCTCGATGCGGGTCGCCCAGCAGCCATTAATCGCATTACAATGCAGGCAGGAGGTAATAACATCCTGGTGGCCATGGTCAGCATCGCGGTATCATGGTCATCATCATCATCGTCACCTGCCAGGCGCTACAACAATGGCCATTTGCTCACCTGGTACTTAATGGTCTGCCGGTAGAGGGGCTCCGCCGCGTGGCGCACCACCCGCGTTTTCTTCTTGTGCCGCAGCCGGTCCCCGTCCTTGATGTAGCACTTCACGTACGTATCCGGCGGAGTCTCGCAGTCCTCGTTGACAATATTACGGGCGCAGATTAGCTGAAAACGAGGGATAGTAAAAGGGGCCATAAAATATGTGCGTATGATGGCATGTTCCAAAGACTCCATAACCAGGAGCCAGCTAGCAACCACATTCCTATTGCAATATCTGGTTCATGAATTCTTGTGTTTATGCCAATCGATTGGCTTTCACAACTAAACAAATGCATTCTTTTGACAATTTTCACAAAAAATCATAATTCAAAAAATATATATGTTTTTGATGGCTAAAGACCGGTAAAAATGACCTCGATTTTTCAGTTTTATAATAAAAACTCTTGGAAATAATGGTCGAATCTAGGAATGTCATACCTCGTTGAATTCTTAATAAAATTTCCAATCGATTGGTATTCTCAGCTAAAAATTTTTATTTTGGCCCAAAATTGGCAAAAAATCAAGTGTTACCCCTTATAAAAAATGCGAAAATCGGTCAAAAAATAAAATTTACCAAATCCACCTGGAATTGATTGTATTGGTTCTCAGCTGCACAAAACAGTAATTCTTTTGGCTGTGCGTCCCATTTTGGCAAAATTACAACAAAAAACGCTTAAAAACTGTGTCTTAAATATATGTTTTTGATAGCCAAAATCCAGAAAAAACAGCTAAATTTTTCAGTTTTTTAATGAAAACTCTTGGAAATGGTTGGTTTTGGGATTGGTTGGTTTTGGGATTGGTATTCTCAGCTAAAAAATTTTATTTTGGCCCAATTTTGGCAAAAAATCAAATGTGTGTTGAAATATATGTTTTTGATGGCCAAAATTGCAAAAATATAAACTCGAAAAAACAGGGCTTTTTTAAGGGGTAACACTTAAAAAAGCCCTGTTTTTCTTTAAAATATTTAAGTCCACTTACCTCCACCTCCACGTTCCCTTTGATCTTGACGAATCCCATCTTAAGTTCCCCGTACCTCGCGGTGGTCAGGCGGTAGCCCTTGGGGTGGATCTGCGATGGACCCAGCTTAAGTCCATAGCTGGACTCTCCGCCCGTGAGAGCGGGCATGTTGACATAGCTCCCACTGAGGGTCTTGACCACGCTCTGCTTCCTCTGCGGACTATCTGGTCCAGGGCTATCCACACCCAAGCCCACGCCGCTCCTCTGATAAACACTGCCCTTGCGGGTGGGCGTGCCCAGGGGCGGGGTTTCGGTGACCTTGGCCACATACATGCTGCCCTTCCGCTGCAACGTGGTGGTGGTGGTCGGAGTGGGAGCCTGGCTGTCACCCAACTGGAACATGCTGCTCTTGCGCTGCTGCATCTGGCTGGTGGCCAGCAGTTGCCCCTGCCGACTGGAATCCTGGGCCACATTCGACACGGAGGCGGCCTGTTTGAGCCGGGAAAGCACCTGCTTGGGACTCTGCGGCGGCAGCTGGCTTCCTGATCCCTTCCAGCGCGGCCTGTACCGCCTGTCCTCGTCCTCGGACGGCGGACTGGTGTCGGCATTGGCCACGCCCAGGGGCAGATGCTGCTGCAGGTACTGCTGCTGCTGCAACTGCAACTGCTGGAGCTGCTGCAACTGCTGCTGCTGCTGCTGCGACAAATCCAAGACGGAACTCTTGCGGCTATTGGGTCCGCTCGGCAATCCAACGCGACTGGCACCTGTTCAGGTGAGAATCAGAAGTTAGAGCATTCCCTTACACCTCCTTCAAAACGCTTTCGAACTCAACTCAAAGTATCAAGTATTACTGCAGATATGGGAAAACTACCGTTTATCTACGGGCAACTACCAAAAAGTCTACCTATTTAAGTTTTAAGGACCCCATCAAAGGTTCCTTTATGTTTAATTTACATTTTTAATGATTTAGGTATTCAATACTATTTCTACGAGTGAATCATTTTACGTTAACATTCATTATTAACATATATAAGAATAGTACTAAATTCGAATCGTTCATAATATGTGCAATACTTTTTATTCTTATAATGATTTTATGTGATATTTCTTATGATCAACTTTTGAGTTGAATATTTAAAAATTCAATTAATATTTTGTTTTTTTCTAAAATGGTTTAAATTACTCTCTCCAAATAAAGATATTGGGATACATTAATAGCATTAGGCAAATATATAAAATACAAATATGTATATCCCGTAATTTAATTATTTTCTGGCCCCACACTATCTCGATACTTTCCATCACTAGTTTTTTAAGGCTGTAGAATGAAAGGTGTTTAAGGACTAGGACTAAGATAAGAAAATAGGGAAAGCTACATCAAACCAAGCATGCAGATAAAAACATCAGTATCGATTTGGGAATTAAGTCGTTCTCAGTATATATTTTATAATGCTTTATGTTCGTTTTACAACGTTATTGTAATACGCTTTCAAAATGCCGGCAATGGATGTGGACACCGCCCTGCAGACCATTGGTAAAATATATATACCAGAAATATATATTTTTGTTAATACATGAAACTTTGCCCCAATCTCCACCAGGCTATGGCTGTGGTCAGGTGATAATCTTCGCGGTGAGCTTCTTTATTTACATGTATTCCGTTGCCGAGTCCATGAGTGTGTCCTATATCGTGGTGCTGACTTCCTGCGAGTTCGCCACCACCAAAGAGGAGAAGACCCTTCTGGCCGACTCCCTGCTGGGTGGAATGGTTGTCTCCGGGCTGTTCATTGGATTCCTGGCGGACAAGTACGGTCGGAAGTACATTCTCCGCTTGGCGTTGATAGGAGCACTGGGCTTCTCTTCAATCTCCGCTTTAATGCCGGAGCTCTATTCGCTGTCTGTGCTTCGGATGGTCGTGGGAGTCTTGTAGGTGGCCCTGTGTTCATTGGACTCCTTCTAACCACCTCAGTACCTCCTCCAGTCTCTCCGCCGTTGCTTCCTTACAGGTGGGCTTCCTCACCGAGTTCCATTCACCCAACTGGCGACCATTGGTGGTCACCCTTTGCGGCCAATCGGTGAGCACGGCCCTGATCTTCTGTCCCCTGATGGCCATGGCCATCCTGCACGAGGACTTCAGCGTGACCATTAGCAGCGACTACGACATGCGCCCCTGGCGCTTCCTCATGCTGGCCGTCCAGATTCCCGGCTGGTTGGCTCTCCTCGGGATCTGCTTGGTGCCGGACACTCCCTACTTCTACATGTCCGTGGGCCGCGATGATAAGGCCATCCTGGCCCTCCAATGGGTGTGCCGGATGAACCGGAAGAAGTGGGAGGACTTCGATATATCAGGTCTGACTGAAGAGCGCCGCAATTCAGTCGAGGATGGGGGATTTTTTAAGAATATGTGGTCCGAGAGCATCCGGCTGTTCCAGAGGCCTTACGTATACATTGTTGTCATGAGTCTGTTGCTCATTTTTGGGCTATTTTTCACGTGAGTGATTCTCTTTTAATAACGCCACATATATTCTTTATATTTGCTTGCTCAATCAAGTTAAACAGACATAACATGGCCAAAAACATCAGCGGTAGCAGATAAATATGTTTACCTTTTTCACCAGCAGATGGTGCTTGTCTTTCCAATAGAATTGGATTACGCCATCTGCTGGGAAATTTGGCAGCGACTTCAAACAGATTAATAGATATGTGATTAATAACGTTACGATGATCTTGTTAACAACCACGCAGCTCCATTGGCCTGGGCATCTGGTTTCCGGTTATACGCAACATGGACAACTCAGGCAAACACCGACTGTGCAACCTGGTTCGACATAACCCACTATTTCACAAGCATAAAGTCCATATAATCAATGGCACAGAGGTTCCAGAACCGTACCACTGTGACGACGTGATGACCAACCTGATCGATCCCATTTACTACGGCCTCGCCTACTTCTTTTGTTACATACTGTCCTCGCTTTTGCTGCAGTGCCTCATCCGGAAGTACGTCATTGCGCTGCACATTGGAGTGGCTTTTATCCTGGGCGTGACGCTTAATTGGATGAGGCAGCCGACTATTGTGCTGATCTGCTTCACCGGCATGATGGTCCTGCCGGGGGTCCTGATCCCGCTGGCCTCCTCGGTCCTGATCGACGCCCTACCAATTCACCTGCGAGGAAAGGCTCTGTGCATGGTGCGATCCTTGGCGAGACTGGGAGCTGTTGGTGGAAGCACCTTGGTGGGACTGCTGATAAGGGTCTCCTGCGATGTCACCCTCAACGTATTCAACTTCTATCTGATTGGTAAGTGGGGTTGACCTTTAATATATATTTACGACGTTCCTTCTCTTGGCAGTTTGCTTCATTTTGGCCATGTTTTTACCGAAATAAACCCAGGGTAGTCTTGTGTTGCATATTCTTATCCAAATTTGTAAGTGATGCTATAGATATGGGTAAGTGAAAAGCCTTCCTTTTGATCTCTTTTAAATATTGATCCCCAGTTTTGTGAACTGCCGCTGAATGTTATCGCTACCTCTCTGCGAAATGGTTATTGGAGCCTTCAAAAGACTGGAATTATAATAGCTAAAGTCCGTTGAGCTCTTAAACTTTTACCAAGAGGGTCTTGAGTTCACTTGGTGACACAACTGTCAGAACTCAGCGTTACATTAAATATCTACTTGTGGTCTGCTGATAGATCCACTGGAAGCAGCTTTGTAATCTTGTGCACTTTTGAATATCTTTAATAAAGGAATTCACTATGAAGATGTTGTAATTAGTCGAAATAATCTGATAGTAATTTCTGGTGGTATATGAGATATTTTATGTTTTTTTTTTTTTTCTTAATTTAAATTTATTTACATCTATATTTTATGTCCGCTTCGATATGCAATAAACGTTTTCCTAGCAATCCGTATTTTGGTTTCAAGCTTTCGTTATTCGTTTTATATACACAAATTGTGAAATAGCAATAAAGGCTTTGCAGTTCATGGAAACCGACACAATAGCCAATTCAAGCGTGGTCTCGCTCACTCAGCCTCACCTTTGGTCTTGGTCAAGACATCGAACAAAGCATGTAGCTATGTAAACAACATCTAAAATTGAGCAGTGTATATTTTGAAATTTTGTCGTTAATTTATAGAAGATTTCAAGATGCCGGCTGTGGATGTGGACACTGCCCTCTTGACCATAGGTAAAGGAGTTTAGTCAGCCGCAGTCATGGGAAGTAGGCAACTTGTCATCGCTCTCCACCAGGTTATGGCTTCGCTCAGGTGATAATCTTCGTGGTGAGCTTCTTCACTTACATGTACTCCGTATCCGAGTCCATGAGCGTGTCCTATATCGTGGTGCTGACGTCCTGCGAGTTCGCCACCACCAAAGAGGAGAAGACCCTCCTGGCCGACTCCCTGCTAGGTGGAATGGTTGTCTCCGGGCTGTTCATTGGATTCCTGGCGGACAAATACGGGCGGAAGTACATTCTCCGCTTGGCGTTGATAGGAGCTTTGGGCTTCTCTTCAATCTCCGCTTTAATGCCGGAGCTCTACTCGCTGTCAGTGCTTCGGATGATCGTGGGACTCTTGTAGGTAGCCTTAATCTTTATTTGACTTTTTATCTCCATAATCTCCTCCAGCCTCTCCGGGGTTTCCTCCTTACAAGTGGGCTTCCTCACCGAGTTCCATGCGCCCCAGTGGCGACCATTGGTGGTCACCCTTTGCAGCCAATCGGTGAGCACGGCCCTGATCTACTGTCCCCTGATGACCATGGCCATTCAGCCCCACTCCATCAGCGTGAACATCACCAGCGACTACCATATGCGCGGTTGGCGATTCCTGATGATGATCGTCCAGATTCCCGGCTGGATAGCTCTGCTGGGGATTTGCCTAGTGCCCGAGACCCCGCACTTCTACATGTCTGTGAGGCGGGATCAAGAGGCCACCGAGGTCCTCAAGTGGATATGCCGGATGAACAGGAAGAACCTAGAGGATCTGGACATATTTTTGACCGAAGACCCTCGTGCCACGATCATTTCCAAGGAAGGTTTCTTTAGGAATATGTTGTACGAAATGACGCGGCTATTCCGCAAGCCATACGTCGGAACATTTATGATCTGCCTAATGGTAATTTTTGGATTATTCTTTACGTGAGTTAAAGAATTAAAATGTTCAGCTTAAATACCTTTTAGGTCTATACATTCTATAGTCCTAGGTTCTATTATGGTGACCCTAATAATTTTGAAAACAAAATTTATCTTTCTGAACCTTTCAGGTCCATTGGCATGGGCATCTGGTTTCCGATTATTCGCAACATGGACAACTCCGGCAGCCACCGGTTGTGCGATCTCGTTGAAAATAATCCAATATTTCATGCCCCCCCGATCATAAACGGCACAGAGGCAGGACCACCGAGTTGCCACGACGAGATGACCAACCTGATCGATCCCATCTACTATGGATTGGCCTACATGGGTTGTTTTTTTTTGTCCTCGCTGTTGTTGCAGTGCCTCATTCGGAAGAACGTGATTACGTTGCACATCGCAGTGGCTTTTGTCCTGGGCATTTCTCTAAATTTCCTAAAGCAGCCGACTTTGGTGCTAGTCTGCTTCACCGGCATGATGGTCATGCCGGGAGTCCTGATCCCGCTGGCCTCCTCGGTGCTGATCGACGCCCTGCCCATCCACCTGCGAGGAAAGGCTCTGTGCATGGTGCGATCCTTGGCGAGACTGGGAGCCGTGGGGGGCAGCACCTTGGTTGGACTACTGATAAGGGTCTCCTGTGATACCACCCTGAACCTATTCAACGTCTATCTGGCTGGTAAGTGGGTGATCGACCTTTATGTCTGATGTTAATCTTTTTAAGACTTCCCTTACTATTTCAGTTTGCGTCATTTTGGCCATCTTTTTACCCAAGTGAGAGCAGGTCCAGTTTAAGGAAAGTGATGAAACTACCTTTAGACTCCGCTGTCAAGGTACTCGATCTGTACTAGGTCTGCTGATATAGATCAGCAGACTCCTTGGGCAAGGAATTCTGCTGAGCAAGGAAGTCTGCTGATATAGATCAGCAGTTGTCCAGTGAGTGAAAGTGGCTATGAATTCTTGTGTATTCTCAATAAGTGTTTGAATAAATATTTTCGTCGCAAAAAGAGTTTAATTCATGACAGTTCTAAGCAAATGAAAATGTCAACCAATCCTTTTAATATCCCTCAAAAGTTTTCTAAGCAATCCGTATTTACGTTTCAGCTGTTCTACATTTTTTTATTTTTACACAAAAATGGTTAAAAACAACGCGCACGATGAGTGACATAGATGATGTGTTCGCCTTACTGGGTAAGTCCTGTGAAACAGAGGATGATCCTGTTGCCTGAGCTTTGTGGTCCGCAGGATTCGGCAAGATGCAGTACATCGTTCTCTTCGCCTGCCTTGTCATGCAAATGTGGATCACCAACGAGCAAATGGGCATTGCGGTGGTGATTGCCGGGGCCAGTTGTGAGCTGGAGATCGTAGATTATCGGGTGGCCTGGCTAATGGCCTGCAACTTTGGCTCCCAGATGCTATCCTGCTATATGTGGGGCGAACTATCGGATGGGTTTGGAAGACGCAGGGTGATCCTGATCGCGGGCCTGACCGCAATCTTATTGTCCTTGCTGTCGGCTTGCATGCCGGAGTTCTGGTCCTTTTTGGTCCTGCGCACATTGCAAGGTTTCTTGTGAGTAGAGAGAGGACACTTGCGATCCAAAATACAATCACCTTCACCCACCCAAAGTATCTCGGGATCGTTGGTTTGTACCATGACCTACTTGAGTGAGTTCACAAAGGTTTCCCTGCGCCCCAGAGTGCAGAACATTATGAGCTACGCCATCGGCCTGAGCCTGATTTATGTGCCGTGTAAGAATCGATTCACTAGCCTCCTCAGATGAGCAGATTTCTCCTTCCCGCAGCGCTGGCCGGTGTCCTGCTTCCGTTGGAAATGGAACCCATTGGCGGTTGGCGCATCCTGCTTATTTGCAATCAGATCCCCGGAATCCTCGGACTGATCTCGCTGATTTTTCTGCCCGAGAGCCCCAAGTACTGCCTCTCAACTGGCAATCCGGAGAAGGCCATGAACATCATGGAGAAGGTCTGCCGGCTGAACAAGGGCAAGGACGTTACCCTGGCCAGTTTGGGAGTGGACTCGCTCACACAACCTCGCCTGCGTCCTTCGTAAGGATTCGTTTTGCTCCAGTTCCGATTGTAATTCTATTCCCACCAGGCAAATGGTTAAGGATCGGTGTCACGATACCAAGAATCTTATGACAACACATGCCAGGTTCATGTGTATTTTCTTCTTTATCTTTTTTAGCCTGAGTGGAATGTGAGTTAAATGTCTTGTTCTATTTTATTTATTAAAGTTTCCAATCATTTTACAGAGCCTTCGCTTTGCCCATTTGGATGTTGCGAATCAGAGTTCTTGTTTCTCACTTTGAAGAGCCGCAGACGATATGTGATCACTTGAAAGGCGTTCGTCCAGAAAGGAGTCAAGAGGTGGGCTATGATGTTCAAGTATGACTTTCCACACTCACCTCCTCTCACAGTGTGAACTAGGTTTTAAGGAAATGATGGATCCCATTATCCACGGGTTCGTCGTCCTCGGGCTCTTCGTGCTGACCAGCGTTCTCTTGATTTGTCTTAAGCGTCGGATAGTTATAGTTACGTATACCGTTGTGGCAATTGCTGGATGCGTGGCCTTAAATTTTATGAAGCATCCCGACCTGATACTGGCTTCCTTCTTCGCCATAATCGATCCGCCCCTGTGCAGCATCAGGTTGGCAGGTTCCCTGCTCATAGACCTCGTGCCTACTCATCTGAGGTAAGTTTATTTCCATACTATCATTAATTGATTTTTATGATTTTTTTCTAGGGGTAAAGCCTTTGCTCTTATCAGCATGTTAGGTCGCTGTGGCGTTTTGATAACCAGTTTGTATGTGGGTTACACCCTGACCCACAGCTGTTTGGTCACCTTCAATCTCTTAATTTTGATACTATTGGGTAAGCAACTCCTCTCACTTAAAATGTATATTCTACCAAAAGAAAATCCCCAGTTTGCGGCATACTGGTGCTGTTGTTACCAACGGATGTTAAAATTAGAAGTATAACACAGTGAGGTCTCATATAATTTTGCATATGTAAATTGTATATATGACTTTTGAAATAAAAATTGCTCTAAAGCTCTTTTTATTTAAATTTGGAATACCCTCTTTATAAACTTTTGGTGTACGTGAGGTGCGTAATTATACGACAGACATGCTTCATTAAAACTTTTGGCAAATGACGAGGCTTTCGGCAATGAGTTTTTCCCTATCGGGCCTGCCAATCAGTCAATCAATCATTCAATCAATTGGGCGTACAAATTTGATGCCCCCTGCGCCGAAAAGCGGAGAAAAGGATTATGGCAAAAGTTCAAATATTTTTGTGCACCAGCCAAAAATAAAATAAACGTCAAATAAACTTGGCGACAGCTGCGTTTATACGCTCTCGAGTGGTTCTTTTTTTTATATTTTTTGTATGTTTGAGCCCAGCGGATATGAAAGTGCGTAAAAGGCAAAACGGAAACGGAAGGCAAGGCAATCGCTAAGCGGCTTAATAATAACTGTCGAGCAAGAAAATCGAATCGAAAGGAAAACGGGAAGCGAGAAACGAGAAAACATATTGGCGAAGACGGCCAACTTTTTGCTGAGCAAGGACAATAAAAGGGACATCTACTTGGCAGCCAGGTTCCCCAGCGAGAATGGAGCTGTCAATTCCGTATAGAACATGTATATATAATATATATGTGGGACATATATGTATGTTTTCATATCCCCACCTTTGTGGAGAACTTTTCCCAGACAGAGACGCTGCTTATTTTCATATTTAACGGCTTGTTTGTGGCTCTGGGAAATTCGTATTTTTTGGCTTTGTTCTGTTATCGCGTTTCGTTTTTGAACTTTTATTTTTCTGTTCTGTCTGAGCTTTCATATTTCGCATTTGCAAAGTTAATTTCAAGGCTGAGCTATTTCGACGGGGCGTTGAAGGGTTTATGAGGGCGGCGAACTGTTGCGAAAAGACAACAGGTAATAAGGGGTTTTCCCCCTCCGAGCTTTGCATTTTAAACGCAAATTTGCTTGCCAGTTGCTGGCTTTTGTTCGCTGGTACAAATTTCTTTTCGGCAACTTTTTTGGGGCTGTGAAAATAGCATCAATAAGCTTAAATAAGCCCCAAGTTTTCATGTGTCCTGGGACACATTCTCGACTGGATTATCAAGGAGAACGTGAGCCTGGATGAGTGTGTAATGAGATTTCGGCTCCTTCGCAGCTCGCAAACATGCATGCGAGTACATATTATACAATATATAGACGAATACTACTAAGTAATTGTGTGTGAAAGTGGGCGTTAATAAAGTGGCTTGCATGCAGCTAGCTGGAATCAAGAGCTCCAGGTGTATGGCGCTAATTAAGGTGGAAAAAGAAGATGGCAAGCTGAAACCAAAATGCCAAAACGCAACTCAATCTCAACTCAAGTTTATTTTGCATTCTTACCAGTGGTGAGTGATGTTTTTTTTGGTGGTGTTTCTAGTGTGGTACATACTGTAGTCTGTAGTCTGGCTTTAATGCGATTTACATTTCTTAAATACTTGCTGCTAAGCTCAATTTGCAGGAATTCTTATTTTGTTTCTGGTTTCTTGTATAATTTACAAAGGTTTTTAGGTATTCGGTTTTTAGTTTTCAGTTTTCAGTTTTCTACCATTTGTGGTTTTGCTCTGGTGGTGCACAGTGTGGTGGTTGGTTGGTGGTTCACTCGAGAGTGAGCCCTTTTCATTAGATTAAGCAAAAGAATTACGAATACTGACAGGTGCTGAGGGCTTTAAACAAGTGGCTTTAGTTAGTGCTTTAAGCGTTAGTTTATTTGATTTTGCATTTAATTAAGTTGTGTGTGACTTTGCTGGGCATTTCGATTAGTGTTTTGTCCAGTTTGTGTAGGGTGTGTCAAAGCTTTGATAATGCGACACCGATATTGTGGCTAATAGTGGGAAAGATATGGAAGAAGACATTAGAGAGAGACAGTGTCAAAAGTATAGTAAGTGTCAGATGCAATGTTAGATATATTAGGTGTGGGTGTCCATTTAGCATATAGCAGCAAGGCACAGTTGAGGTTTTTGTGGGGTTCATAGGAAATGCAGAGAGACACAGGAATATAGCGGATAGAAAAAGAGAAGGCGGCAAGAGATCTCTTGCAGTGAGTAATTTGGATCTCGGTTTTGAGGTAGGCTAAATCATAATAATTGTAAATAATTCATTTAATCAATCTCGGGTTCCCATAGAAACCGGGGGACATAAAGTAGTTCCCTTGAACATTTGGCTCATAGCAGAATAAATCGTGATAGGCTAACGAAAATCCTTTTAGAATAATGTTGTTAAGCATTTAAAAAAGGTGTCTCTCTTTAATTATTATTTTAAAATCATGGCTGATCGATCAGGGGTGATGTAAATGATAAAATAACCTTTTTAAAAGTGTACTTCAAGTGTTAATGATTAAATCTCTGTAACATCAGTTATCAATCGATTAATTTTGTTATTCGCCTAATGTTCTAGGGAACTACTTCTCCAAAGGACCAATCTTAAGTGCGAATCCCCTTTACTCACGTCTCGATCCCATGCGTTTGTGCTGCTCGGTGCCCAGACTCATGGTGCGCCCCAGCTCGCCGCGGACAGCCTTCAAGGATTTCAAGATCTCATCCGGATCGCGTCGAGCCACGGACGAACGGCGCCGGCCCACCAGATAAGAGGTGGGCGGCGTGGCCATGGCGTCCTCCTCCAGCCGATTCTTCTCGGCATCCTGGAAGCTCGATCGACGCGAGCCCGGCAATGAGCGCGAGAAGTCCTTGCCCAGCTGGTAGACCTCCACCTCCATTGTCTCCGACTGTGAGGAACCGCGTCGCGAGCCGGCTATCCAGGCGTGATCGGGATGCAGCAGCGAGGTTCCATCTCCGATGGAGTCTACATCATCGGAGTTGGAGCGCTGCATGTTGTAGTCGCGACGAAGGAGTCGGGTCACATCGCCACTGGGTGCTCCTGCTCCGGCTGCAATGGAGCCCCTCGGCGAAACACTTGGCGACTTGCTGATGCTAATGCCACGCAAACCCTTCATATCATCCAACCGACACCAGATGGCCTGGTCGTCGAGAAAGGCCTGCTGCAACTCAATTGAGCACTCGCCCAGGAAAATGGACTCCGTGTGGGGCACCAAGTCCCACAGCTGTATGTCTATGTAGCGATCCATCAAGGTGTCGGCCTTCACATGACCGAAGGTCAGGGTGGCGTTCCAAATGGGATTCTGAGTGGGTCGGCTGACCTCCGTCTGCTGCACGCTGCCATCTCCGCTGAGGTTAGGAAAAATATAAAGTGTTTTTAAATATAATGTGTACTTTATTTGGTTATAGCTGTGTCTAACAGGTTTTTTAGAAAATAAATCTGAAAATATACAACTTAATATGGGGCCAGAACAGGTACCTTTCTTCTTTTTGACCTATTAAGACTTGTGGTTTGAATTTCTGAATTTAAATTTGTCATTTAACGTATATACATTTTTTTAGCCATTATTACGTTTTTAAAAATTGGACGGCTATAACGACTGTATAGCTGACTAGGAAGGATTAAAAAATGTATCGGAAAATCGACCTAGCTTCATTGTTTTTAAGCATCAAAATTTAAATATTGTACATTTAATTTTTGTAAGAGCTGCAAGGGTATATAAACTTAGGCTTGTCAAATTCTGCTTCCTTTCTTGTTTATTTAAACTCCTGACAGGATTTCCTTGTAAATTTTTTAGTGTGTTCAAATATTTGTTTAATGGATATAAAAAGGTGGATTCATATAGTGACAAACCATGTTCGTAGGCACTTCTTCACTCACCACTTGGGCAGGATGCGGACCTTGGCGTACGCCTCGGGAAGATTGCCATGTCCGTAGGCCTCATCCCGGAGAGCCAGGTCATCGCCGGCCATCAAGGAGACCACCAGCTCGTTGCGCTCCGCATGGTACCAGACCTGGATCTGGACCCTTCCGGTGACCATCTTCTCGCGGGCAATTTGCTCCTGCGGCGATCAAAAAGCTCGTTAGTGCACGGGTCACAAAGGCTGACGATGCGAATGCCTGCCACTATTCAACTCTTAACAATTGCTAGGAACATATATATATATATATATTTAGTCTAGATTTATCAGCCTAGTGCCTAAACAAAAGCATTTTGTTAGCCTCGCCTATTTACAGTTGTTCGGCTGGCTGGTTTTTCTGTAAATTTGCGTGTTTTTGTTTCGCTTTTTTGTTGTGTTCTGAATGTGAGTGTGTGTGTGTACAATGTACATAACTGAACAACAAATTAAAGCAATCAAAACGTAAATAAAACTAATTAAACGAGTGAGAACGAAGGGATGGAGGCGGGGGGTTGTGGGTGGTGGACTCTGGAGCATGCTAGTTAAATTGCAACGCATTCCCTTCGGGGGAAAACACAAATACGATATACGAAATGCGAAATGCGAAACTGGAAAGCAGGCACACATAAATATAATGCAAATTATGATGTTCGCACACTGCAACACCGATGTGCATGTGTTTTCTCTATTTACAAAAGGCAAAACACACATGCACGGAGATAAACAAAGAGGACCGCAAATGCAATCTGCTCGGGGCATTCTGTCTAGTGTTTTGTGTGCCCCAAAACGGAAGTCATTGCGGCGCAGTTGCGCATGAAGGTCCTGCGAATGTTGCTGTAGTTGTGGCTGAAACTAGCACTATTTTACTATGCTACATATGTGCACGAAGAAAAAACACCACCTGTTATTTATTGTATTTGGGAATTTAGGAGGGTAAGCCAAAAACTTTCTTTCAATTTCATACCTAAGCTCATGATTTATTTTTGGCAAGAGTAAATACACTGTTACCAGTCAAGTGATTATAAGTATAAATACCAACAACTTAGATAAATCTCCAATCGTTGTTTTACTAGTGAAAGTTTCCTATTTAAAAAGTAACTAGTCTAACTCAAAATAATAAAAGTTAAAAAACTTCAAATTTATTGGCCAAAAAAAAATTGTAATAGGTTCTTCTCTATTCTTACAGTAAAATGAATAAGTATTCATCACATAATATTTGAAAATACTTTAATATTATGTGATAAGCTAATCATTATGAAGAGAAAGAAATTCTTTTGTAATCGTTTTTTATTTCTCACATCTTTTAAGCTTTTTAATTTCCTAGGCTAAAATAAAAATATTGAAAAGGTAATCCTACTAAACAATTAAATGTACGTTGTACTCAAGAGGTGAGAATGATGTTAATAAACTCTATATACTCTAGTCTTAATTTTTTTCCGTGTGCTAGTAGTTGGTAATATCGTGGCTTCATAACATATTCATGGCGTGTTCATGCGCAGCAGCAACAACCACACGGCCGAATTGACTTTCTCCTTTCTCCATTTTCCGTGGCGGATCTGCAGCGGAAGCCGCCATATTGCAATAACGTGTTGCGAGCGGAAATGGAGCCCACGCACACACACAGGCATACAAATATTCCAAAACTGTTGCTCGGTAACTTTTTTTACGAGCGAAAAGGAAAAATATTACATTATGACGCACACTTTTCATCTGTGGAAATCGAATTCGTGTTGGGACTGCCTTATAAATTGGGGGGATGGCGATGATGGGGATGTTTATTTTTATCTACAGGTAAGCAGGCACATGTACTTGCTGGATTATTGGAGTTTATCAGAAGGCATCAGGCAGGCGCCGGCGATAAAAGCCTAAGCACTTGAAAACTTTTCAGGCCCGTCGTCGATAATAATAATGACGAAGGCCCCAGCGCAGAAGGAAAAGGTTCCCGACGAATCCAAGGCTGAATTGTTGTTAAAAGTTTTCTAATTTTCGACATTTGCCCGCTTTTTATGCCTCCCAGCTGTCAATTAAAGGGCGACAGCACCTGTTGCTAACAAATTCGCCAAAAGACAAAAGTCACCGCCCACTTGACACCTGCCCGGCTTTGGTTTTCGGGCCCAAAGTTTGTCGACAAACCGCAATTCCCCCCTTTTTTCCACTGGAAGATAACTCAAAGTGACACAAAAGTTTGCCGCAAAAGTTGACAACTAGGTGGACCACAGAAATATATACAAGTACATACAAAAAATTAAACACTAATTATATATGCCATAAGCTACGTTTAACAGATATTTACAGGGGGAAACAAAGACAAGGTTTCTTGCTTTCAAATCGAATTGATTATGCTTTCAGGAGTCGTATGCATATTGTGGGTTAACTGATTACATTCAACAGATCAGATTAGATCAATCAATCAATCCCGTGGAAAGCAGCACAGCTCAATCAATTTGATGACAGTCGTATTACTCTCGGTTTTTAATTTTGTACATATATTTAGCTTGTTTCGGTTGTTATTGTTCGCCTCGCTTTTGAGGTATCAGTTTAATTTTCGGTTACTGTTTTCATTTGGTATCTTTCTGTTTATAGCCATAACTCGTGCCAGCTGGGGTTACATTGGTTGTACAGGAAATGAAAATTGAGTTGGTATACAATCAGCACATGTTGTTATATATAGTTGTATATTCGTAAGTGATTTTAGTTGTCGTTTAGGAAAAATGCTAATCGGTTTAAGATTCAAGAGCCACTAAACGCTAGTCAAACTTAGGCGTAGGTTTTATGCAAATTAGGCAAAATGCAAACAAATCAAAGTGATGTACTCAAGGAATCTAAGAGGAAATCAACTGAAATGGAATCGCAAATGAAAGGCAACTCAAAAAATGTAACCAAAAAAGTTGTGTGTTCTTGTGTTTGTTTTTTCTTTTCTTTTTTTTTCTGCACTGTGACCCTGGACAAAAGTGTATTTCGACTATCAAAAATCCTGGGTAGATCGTCTCTATCTAAACACGAACATCAGGTACATTAGCGCACAATAAGCTTTTGTTTCGACGGATAAAAAACGCAAACTGAAAGGATTCGTTTCGGAAAGTGTGTGTATTAATATGTATGGTACAGGGCTTCGCTTCGGAAGACGAACAAATACGGCACTATATGGTTCACAGATATATATTTTTTTGCGGGAGAGCGGCATAATTAAAGAGTAGTCGGGTATTATGCAAAGCCAAACTGAACAGACAGATCCAAACCAAACGAAACGAAGCGGTAGAATCGAGACGAAAGTAAAGGTAAACATTTGCTAAGCGAAAGCCAAACAAAAGCTCATAAATTGACAGAGAGTGAGAGGTGGAAGTGGAAATTGTGTACAGGGGACACAGCGTGGCGGCAGCAGGAAACCAGGAGAGAAAAACAGGTCGTATACGTAATAAATAAAATGGAACCAAGACGAAAATGAACACAAATTGTAACGCAGCATTACATAAAAAAACAAGAGAAAGCGCACTTTACAATACATATTGACTGGAGGGAGAATGGGCTTTACAAAGTATCTTATACAACCTAACTATAATACACTGATTTTTTGGTAACTGGTTTTACTATTTTAAATACTTTTGGTTCTCTAAGGATACTGGGTGCTAAGACTGTACAAAGGCTGAGGTCTATTTATATATTAATAATAGGGGGTATTTAGAAAATCACTAGGGGTTTGAAATCACTTATAAAGGTGTCTAAAATAAATTAATACTTTTAAGACACCTTTTCAAGAGATTTCGAGACCTTGGTGATTTCTGGGGAACCCCCATTTTCAGGGCTTTTTGTACAGGGTACTTGTGATAGAGTTGCTTTGTTCATTTACCATTTGACTGATGGCTTCGGTGGGGTTGGGTGGATCGGCAAATGGCGGATGGCGGATAGTTGAGTTCTGCGGATTTACGGATATGCGGGTCTGCTGCGAAAGGATATAAAGCAAGTCCAGGCAAGAGAGATTCTCAATTGTTTGCACGCAGTTCGTTTTTGTTTTGCAGTTAAATAGAGAGACTTTATTTTTCACATTTCTTTTGTTAGCCGTTTTTTTTTTAGATTTAGGTTTCTAGCACATTTTGGTACGCTGGTATACGCATTAGTGACTATTAACTGGTTGTATATAGATATATATTTAAGTATCGTATAGCGTAGAGTTGTAAATGTATACATATTTGGTTTGGTTTGTCAAATTAATATCTCAACCTCGAGCTGCGCGGTTAGTGCATGTAATCTTAAAAAATTTCATCAGTTTTGTTCACATTTCCATCAGGGGACCTGCACACCTGCCCAAGTGACTTTTGTAAAGGTATTTTTTATAAATTTAGTACATGTATTACAGGTATTAGTTACAGTTAGAGTTACAGTTACGTTTATGATTACAAGTAGGTAGTCTATACAAAGTGTCGTGATCGAAATCAATGTTAAGTTATCACCCATCTGACAGGAGTTACATAGCTACAAAGCATCTGTTATAAGGTAAACGAGTAAATTCAGTTAGCTCTTTGAAAATGATTCTCCACTCATCGCTCTTCCGTTTTTAGCACTTCGTTATTGTGTTTCTTAAATACGAATACGAGTATGTTTGTATGTAGGTGGGCTTCCCCTTCACTTTCGTTTCCGTTTCCGCTTTCGCTTTCTATCTTACTTTCACTTTCAGTTTCAGTTTCATTTTCAATTTCGATTTGACATATACAAACACAGCTCTAACACTGACATATAGAGAGAGTACGGGGTCTACAAATGCGCACAACTCTCGGACTTTAGTCGTGTACCATACATATATAAGGTATTTCGGGTACTTTGGCTTAAAAACACATTTAAACATTTCAACAACAAACTACTAATTTTTGTCTTTTTTTTTTTTTGTTGGTTTGTCCAATTTGGTTGGTTTTTGATTTAGCTTACGATTACATATATATATATCATAAAGTCAATAACATTTAAAACACACACAAATATTGTTAAACTCTGTTTGCTACAAATTTGCACTAGTAACATTTATAAAAATTTCGGTTTGTCTATAAACTATATATTATAACTGGCCCAAGCTGAGCCTTTACATTTAGTTCATGTTAGTGATTCTCTGTAGGTCTTGTTCCTTTGTTATTATTGTATCGATTCGTAGAGCCTAGAGATGGGTTCTACACAAGCGGATGTATCTTCTTTTCTTTTGTTTTTTTTTGGGAGTTGGGAGTAGCTCAAAATTCGTTTCTCGAGTGGAGTTATTATAGACACGAATGTTACGTTAAAACTTGTTTATATCTTAAAACCCTATTGTTGGTGCTTTGTTCTTACTGTGATCCCCGGGCAATTGGATTGCCCGCGAAGAAGAAGGTTGAACCAAGGAAAAACAGACTTGGAAACGAAAAACGATACGATACACGGACTGTATCGGTATCCACCTCCTTGAGCATCCACTCCTATCAATATATCGCTTAGTGGCTATTTAACCGTCTATATATATACGTTAGTTGGGCATGTTAGTAATATATTTTTGTAGTTTCTCGAAATCACTAAGTTCTACCAACACCGAAAAATAAATATATGTAAGTACATCTGGTGGTTATATGACAAAGAATAGCAATGAACACATTTAGCCATTTCGCATGGTTAGTAATCATAATTTGTAGTGGAATATCAAAGTAAAATATCAAATCCAATAGAAAGGAAATCAGGAGGAAACACATAGAAATCAGGAAATATATATATATTACTCGGTTAGCTACGGTAAATATCGGGTATGAATGTGTTACCAAAAACGAAAAGGTCAAAGCAAATCGTTGAATCAGTGACTAGAAAAGGTGAGTTTTATACGAGTATATTTATATATAAATATATATATATAGCATGGAAGCTGCAATCAAGTACGAAGGTTCAATTCAATTCAATTCGTGAGCACTTTGTGAAAGCTGAAATCGTGTGGAAAACTGCTGCCAATGCTTAAGCTGCATTTAATAGCTACTTTATATAGTATGCATTCGGTTTTTAGTTTTCAGTTTTTGGTTGCGTTTGGCTTGCTGCACATAGCTCGGTGTGTTCTCATTTAGGCGGTAGTATCTTTAAATCAATATAGTATGTTCACTTCCTCGACTGCTGCCGCAGCTTAGGTTCTCTTACACAAATGAATAAAACAAAATAGTTTTATACCGGAGTTTTTGGTAATTTCCGTCTAGTTGGCGATGCTGGTGATTTGTCTGTGGTGGTTTCGGGCTCTGTTTTTCGAGATTTCGGTTTTGTCGCGATAAGAAGTAACAAGAAACGAGAGCAACAAATGAAAATTATGTGAATGTCATAGCTGTTTACTTACAGGGTATATATATATTGTAAAAAAATATTGGGTATTATTTAGGGTTTTTAAAGGGTAGGGGGAACATTTTGTGGACTTATAACTGATCTTACCTGCTATGAGGCCGAGGCCGACGGGTCCGTCTCCGGACCGCCGAGGTCCACTCTGACCACCGGCATTGCCTGGTGGCAGGTTCTCGTCGAACAGATCGCACATCCGGAAATCCGTGGCATGCTCCACCAGAAGCTCTACAATGTCCCCGGTTCGGTCCATGATGGAGCACACCTCCTCGAAACTCCGGTCAATCAGGGACATTCCGTTCCACTCGAGTATCTGCGGATGACAGCCATTGGATTAGATTTCGAAACTAAATTATTTTGATGTCTCCCAACATTTTGTTTAAGTTAATTGAACATTTTTTCTCAAGTATATGCCAAAAATGATTCCAAAAAATTATTATTAAAAAAAACCTATCTTACTACTAACTATCTTTTCATTTGAATAGACTTTAATGTTTCTATACTTGTTCTTCTTGATTTTTACTAACCAGTTTGCAAATCCTCTAAATCTAGTGAATTAAGAAATGTGCTAGCAATATATTAAATTGTAAATTAAAAAAAAAGAAAACAAACACGTATTTAAATTTAAAATAAAATAAAAGCACAATGATGTTAAGGCTAAACCATGTCCAAAGAATAAAGCTGAATTATGAAAAATATGTGTGGCAACATGGAACTTGCTACAGTGTATTGGCAATGTCCCGTGCCGAGAATCATCAATCATGTGCTATTAATTTAGGGCTGGCAGCTGGGCGAGCGTGCACTGCGGTTGGCCGCACTTCAGCACCCTTTGAGCCACTACCAATCATGGCAGACTGGCCAGCCAGCCACATCCTCATCCTCATCTCTACCCACAGCTACCCACACTCACCTTGTCGCCCTGCTGCAGGCCATTCTTCTCGGCGGCTCCTCCTGGAACGGTCCACACAATGTAGGCGAACAGACGGCCATCGGCTCCGGTTTTTCCGCCGACGACGCGCATCCCAAAACCACGTGCTGCGGGAGTAGACAATGTCAGATTTAATAAGAGACTGGCTCACGCACTCGCCGCGATTGGGCAATCCAAGAGGACGGAATAATCAATAGTGGGACTCTTGAACTGGACCAAAAATCGGGGACTGTGACTAGGCACGTATTCGCAGATACAGATACAAATTTCGGGCATGTGGCAACAATTTGCCTTGATTTCATTTGCACTTTGCAGTGGCAGTGCCACAAGTCGCTGAAGTCGCAAGCCGAACCGAAAACCCACGTTGCGTATACGCCATGTCACCCGCCCTGTTTGTGTTTGTCTGCTAAGTTCTCTTTTTTTTCTGCTCAGTCAGCGAGTTTTTTGTGGATTTTCCAGTATTTTTCTTTCTCCCAAATTTGACACAAATTTTTCTCCAACATAAACTTGACCCCCTGGACATTTATAACAATTTAAGTGGCGAAGTGCTTTAAAGGAGATTGCTTACTCGGCTTAAAAAAACATTCAGACAGTTTTACAACAAAGTGAGACTTTGTTCCCTTACATTCATATCATAGTAAAACATACACAAGCATTGATAAACTCTGTAAGGATGGAATTTTGCAGTTTGCAGGTTGTCTTTAAGATTGGAAATGAGGCTTTAAAATTCAAATTTGCACTGTATTTGGAGGCCGAGAGATTTCATTTGCCGAGTACAAACAATTTAATTAATTAAATTGCAATTGCGGGGGCTGCAGTTCAGTTTCAGGTACTTATCATTTGGCGCAGAAAACTAATTTCAACAATTTGTGCACCGAAAACTTGGAAAGCGGATTTCCGCCGCCGGAGGATGGGGTGCAGACAATGGCCAGGAAAGTTAACCAGCCACCGGAGCAGCGATGACAATGAAATTGTGTCTCCAAGGTGAGCTCTCCAGGGATCTGGAAGCAAGGGAGCAGGACGAAGGACGAAAGGACAGCTTGGCAGGTCCAAGTTTTGCGCAGGAAATGGCGGCAAACTTGGGCAGTATGCAATAAAATGTTGCGCATCCGCCAGCGCTGTTGATTCAGGCGCATTGATACCCAATTAGGATAAGGCGACATTTTCCCATCCACGACCGCTGTTTGTTGAGTGTGTTTTAATCAAAAGTTTTTTCCCGGCCCAAGTCTTAAGACTGCAATAAAAACGATATAAATAAAACGCAAATCCTTTTGCTGACAGCGAGGAAAAGGCCCAGATTATTCGATGACGCCACGTTTTTGGGTAAATCGCGATTGATGCACACAAAAAAACAATTGGACTTAAACTAAGAATTTTAACAGATCAATTAAATGCTAAAATTCACTATAATAACAATGAAATGTATGTATTCTCAAGTTTTTTACTCCTACCATAAATAAAGTTATTAACTCATTGCATTAAAATCTTTGTGACAAATAAAAACAGGAGTTCTGTTTAAAACCCATTCAAGTCTTTGAATAAATTTGAAGACTTAATGAAGAGTTCTGGCCTTGGAAAACTTGCTTCTTGGTTTCTTGAAGTTACAAAAACTGAATGTTTGCACTTAAAATTTGTTTTGAGTGCAGTCATTTGCCTTTAAGTCCGCACTTAACATGGAGCTGAGTGAAATTTTCGATTCGTTTTGGCCATAAAAATCATGAGTGGAGGTGAGGTCCTTGTTTTGGCAATGTCCGAAGTCCTTTGTCTCATTGTTGGTCCGCTGTCCAGTGTCCACTGTCTGCTGGCCTTTTCCGTGCGTAGTTGCCATTCTTGGGGCGGGCCAGACTTTTATGATACAATTTGTTTGCCGGATGGCCAACGATTTTTTATGTGGCCATCATTGGGATTTAATAAGCCGGGCTCACAGCCACACACAAAGGTGTGTTGTTTATGGCCAGTGGGTCGGGGCTACAAGGGTTTATTCCTATTTGGGGTATCCGTTTCTTTTGTTGCTTTGCTGGCCAAGGGCCGTAAACATGCTGGCAAATTGAATCAACATTTGTATATATGTAGGTCATTACAGGGCCAGGACTTTAACTTTGGCTTAAGCCAATCAAGAGTTCTGCAAAAAGCAGACTCGAAAGATTTTGTACTTTAATTGGAAAACTATCTCTAAGTTCTGCCTTTTAAATTCCTCCCTGGCAAGTTTTTAATTTGCGCCATGTCCTTGCATCCTTTCTGCCTGGCAGACACATGCTCCACATCCTCGTAATGGCATTAAGTGAGCAAACTTTTAGCTGACACACATTGAACGACTTAATCGATGCACACCTGCTTGCATCCTAGCATCCTGACGTCCCAGGATCCCTTTTCCTGCATCCTTTTCCTGTCCGGGGAAACAAGTCATGGAGTCATGAGCGTAAGCGATTTAGTGGCTTCTATCAGTTGCTATAAAATTGGCTCTTTATTAAACTAGCAAAGCGAGTGCCATGCAAAGAATACTAACTCGTATGTCTTGGCTATCAGTGGCTTAAACTAATAAACCAGATCAAGACAAGGGGTTTCCTGTAGCACTGGCACGTAAAAAAATGTCAACTATATCAGACAATATCTTTAAGGTTTAAACATTTTATTATTAAACTTTCTGTTTAAATTGTAAATATTTTTAACAGTTTGACAACTGTGAGGTAAGCCTGAAATACCATATTTCAGATAACAATATTAAACTTAAAAAATATTTGAAAATTTAAATTAGTTGATATTTAAGTTATGATGATTCAATTTAAAACCTAAATGTCATTATTTCAATACAAGCAATAATTGGTAGAGCTCAAGTACGATAAGAAAGAAAAGTTTATAGAGTTTAAATAGTTTCTTACTAAAAATTAATTTAAAATGCTTTCGTCTTCGCTTTTCTCCTTATTTTTCCTTATTTAAAAATTTAATTTGACTTATATTTCAGCTATGATGATATGATGGTTCAAATTAAAACCTAATGCGATAATTTCAAGAAAAGTTTGTAGAATCAAAAAAGTTTTTACTAAAAATTAATTTAAAACGCTTTAGTCCTAGCTTTTCTCCTTATTTTTCTCTGCGTACCATAACGCAAAACTGCTCGATTTGAGTGACTTGTGAGGCGGAGAACTATGAAAGGGCAGTCAGGCGAACAGTTAGATGTTATGGGCCAAAGGGGGCGTGGCATATGGCCACCTGTAGCTCAGAAAACCATGCACACAATGCCGAAACCCGAGGTTCGTGATTCGTGGCAATAAATGGGTGTGTGTTCGTTTGTGTGTGTGTGGCTCATGAGGCTGCATAAAATTTCATTAGGCGTGCTAAGACGCCATTTGGTTCTACACCTGGACCTAAAAACCCCTCCCCCCTCCTGTCGATTAACAGTTGCTATTGGAACACTTAAAGCGATGCATAATTGAGGACTTCGCTGGCAACAATTGAATTACATGGAGATGGAGCTCTCGAATGCCTAATTAGCCATGCGAATACAGCGGCTAATTAAGCTCACCTGCGTGTTAATGCTGATGCACCGGCGAAAGTTAATGCAAAAAGTGTAGCATGTTTCAGGGCGCAGCGCAGCGCAGAGCTCAAATTACAAGGCATCAACTCAGTCAATATATCAAGGCGAAATTTCAGCACAGCTGCCACAACCACAAGCTCTACGTACTTCGTATATGTGTGTGTGTGTGTGTGCTGTGGCCAAGGAGACGTAGTCCTGGCAGGCAGGCACAAGGATAAGGATACGGAGGTGTACAACAAGTACCAGCAAGGAAATGGTTTAGCACATTAAAATTCCACTTGCTCCGCTGCATATCAAATATGCCGAGCTAAGCAGGCATACGGACATATAGACAAGGCTCTCGAGAGAGGGTTTAACTCATGATACCGCATGTCTAGTATAGTATAGTATAGTATAGCGTAGCCACCCACATTCCACTGCAGCTGCTTGTGCGTATTTGTTGGGTATTGACATTTTTTTATGATATGCAAATTGAAATTTTATATTAGCAAGCGCACGTCGCACAGGTGGCTAACCGATGGGAAAAAAATGGGAAAACTGTGTGTGCGTGGGTGTGTGTGTTTGTGTGTGTGGAGGCAGCCAGTGGCTAGTTATTTTGATTGGTATTATAGGCGCTCGTTAAGAGCTCTCCACAAGATACTACTAAATGCCACGCACTCCAAGGGAATTATGAGTGGTTTGTGGAGAGCCGTTTCAAGTAGTTTCTTCACATTTATGGAGATATTTTATTATTATACCCTTGCAGAGGGTATTATAATTTTGGTCAAAAATGTGCAACGCAGTGAAGGAGACATCTCCGACCCTATAAAGTATATATATTCTTGATCAGGATCACCTCCTGAGTTGATATAGCCATGTCCGTCTGTCCGTCTGTCCGTCTGTCCGTCTGTCCGTCTGTCTGTCCGTCTGTCTGTTTCTACGCGAACTAGTCTCTCAGTTTTAAAGATATCGAATTGAAACTTTGCACACACCCTTCTTTCCTTTGCACGCAGTATATAAGTCGGAACGGCCGGGATCGGCCGACTATATCCTATAGCTGCCATATAACTGATTGATCGGAAATGCCATAACTCTGCTGTTTGTTAAGTTAGGAAGTTGGGACTTTCTATGGGTTTTATATTTGGCCAATCAATCCGACGTACCACATTTCATAAGGATCGGCCGACTATATCTTATAGCTGCCATATAACTGATTGATCGGAAATGCCATAACTTTGGTGTTTGTTAAGTTAGGAAGTTGGGATTTTCTATGGGTTTTATTTTTGCCTAATCAATCCGATATATCAAATTTCATAAGGATCGGCCGACTATATTCTATAGCTGCCATATAACTGAACGATTGGAAATGATATAACTTTGGTGTTTTTAAAGTTAGGAAGTTGGGATTTTTTATGAGTATTAAGAATGCATTATGAATGATTTTGGAGAATATAATTTGCAGAATATTCTGCAAGGGTATTTCAACTTCGGCTCCGCCCGAAGTTAGCTTTCCTTTCTTGTTGATATTTTAAAAATATGCAATGATTGCTCTGCTTGAACATTTTGTAATTTAAAAGTCAATCATGTCTACCTACGCGGTTTGCTGTGCAGTTTCTAGGAATTTTTTATTAATATATAACAAGATTGAGCTTTATTGGCAGGTTTGGAAAAAGTTCGTTATGGCAAAGGCAAACATATTAAACAAGGAATTTTATTATGCATATATTGTGACATGTTCTAGGAAAAGCAAATTATAAAAAGATATAAATATAATTCTGAGAAGGCTTTCTGACTAGTTTCACAAAGTTGCCAGCTATTTGTCTTTAATAAAAATTAAATATTCATATAGACGAAGTCTTATAATACTCAATTTTAAAAGGATATTCTTGCCTTGGTATAATTTGTCCTCAAAGTAGAAATTCTGGACCAAACGTATTACTCGCAAGAAACTGGCAATCAATTTTCACTTTCAGCTGTTTTATTTGCGCAAAGTTTTCACTTGCAACCAGAGTTAGCTCTTTCCCCTACTCCAATTTGCCCTGGTTTTCTGTCAGTCTTTCGAAATGCGAAATTTGGTTTTGCCCTTGTCGAGAGTGCATCTAACTGTCGGGCATTCTAGTTCCCCCCTTTAGCCAGTACAAATGGCCAGGATGTTGGCCACTTTTTACTGCATTCGACTGGGATGTGTTCATGAAACTGCCCAGGAGCAGGCCATGCATGCACGAATATGCCAAACATTCGGGGGCATTATTATTTATGGCCAGCAAGGCGTGAAGTTTTCCATTCCCTCTGTTTGATTTTTTTTTGTCTTGCTCTCAGAGGAAAAATGCCCCACTTGAATTTTGCTTTGAATCCTAATGCCCACGCTCACGTTCCATTCCGTATTGATTTTCATGCTCCAAGTCCGCTGTCGATAATTAAAAATTCATTTGGCCTGGTATCCTGACTTACTGGCCCCCTGAGGTATGCAACAAAAATGCATATAATTAAAATACATCCAGAGGAAGTGGGAAACAAAGCGAGGGAATAAAAACCCTGCCCCACCCATACACACACACACACACAAACAAACGACATTGGCCAACAATGCCGAACAGCTAAATGTCCTTTGTGTGAGTGTGTGAGTGTGTGTGTGTGGGGTGTCCTTGCTGCTGCAACAGGGAGCTGAGAACTCGGAACTCGAAGCTCTCGGTGCCTTTATGTCGATGAAATCCGCTCAGTTGCTTAATCTGCTACCAGTCTGCTTCCGCTTTGGGTTTCATTAAGGCCCACGGGGACCCAAACCACATTATCCTGGCCACGCCCACATCCCCTACCGCAACCGTAGCCCCTGCACTTTGGCAAGGGAATTAAGGTGTCCACAACCGACTTCGTCGCAGGGTGGAGCGCTGCCCCGCCGAATTAGCATAACCAAACGATGTAATGAGTCCTGTTTACTTGCCCATTTCCGGTGCGGTTCCAAGGGCAGGACATCAACCGAAGCCGGATGGAGCGGCCAAACAAACCGAACTCAATCCCATTTGCGCACAGGCAAATCTAAAGTACAGGTGTGTGTGTAATAGTAGTTTTTTTTGGGCTTTCAGAATTTTAAATGCATTTTTAAGGGCACTGCATTTATTCATTTTTTGACAATGATGTTATGGTTTAAATGGAATTTATTATATGTTAGTTTTTAAATAAAGAATGTTTGCTTGCCAATAGATAATTAAATTAATAATTTGGGAATGTCTAACATTTTTTTGTATTTTCAGAAACCATTTAGTTCTTAAATAAGGAATGCTTTCTCGCCAATATATTGTTAAATTTAATTTGGGAATATCTACCATTTTTTTTTGCATTTTCAGAAGCCATTCAAATTTTTCCCAGTGCACAATCCCCCACACACTCTCGCCCAATCTCAGACACACATTAAGCTAAGCCCCGGGGCTTCGGTGCCTTGTGTCTTAGTCTCTAAGCCCCAAACTCACTGCGGTGCGCCTTGTCCGTGGGATCCCGGCGCAGAATGATGCGCCGCTTAGATGCACAAATCGGACCCGAATCCACGTCGTGTATTACGATCCTTATGGCCTCGCCGTCCATTGATGTCTGCCGCCGTGGCGCCTCCAAATCCTCGAGATTGGGGCCCGTGAACGAGGCCATGGGCGGCGGAATCGCGGAGGGCGGTACCGCCGGCAGAGCTCCGCGATTTTGCAGCATCGCTATGTCGGGTCTGTTAAAGGGATAAAATAAGTATCTTTTTAAAAACAATGTTACTATTAATTTTTCAAATTTTTAGAGGTCAAAAAACTGTGCCCATAGAGTTTAAAATGTAGTACAAATTTTCAATTTTGGAAAACGACCAAAAAAAAACATGACCCGGAGTTATATTTTACTACAATTTCATTTTTACAATTTAGCTTAGCTATTTTTCTGGGTGAAGTTAAATTTCAATATCTTTGAAATAAAATACCTATTATTCTACTTAATAAAACTTGTTTATTATTTAAGAACCCTCAAAAAAAAATGGATTCAGAGTATTAAATCGGGCATTCCCCTTGTGCATGTCGAGTTTTAAAAAGTTAGATTTACTATCAGCTTTCAGTATAAAACTACATTTCAGTTTAAAACACCATAAAACCAATGGTTGTTTTGCGAGTTTAGAATATTCTGAATTTAAAGTCCGACTTTCCCCTCGTAAACTTCAGCTGTCAAACAGTTAACACCACTTACAGCTGCGAGCCGCGTCGCCGCATCCTCCGGTCGTCGTCGACGGTCAGCACGGGACTGCCCTTGTCCGGCGATCCTGGGGAGTCGTCGTTCTGGATGTCCTCCGAGGGATGTGGCACCCGGAACGAGGGTCTCCGCGACCCGGGCAGCTGGATGGGGGGCATGATGCCGCCTTCGCCCGGAGACCGCTGCAGCGCAGGTGTGGCGCCACCCTGCGTCAACCCGGGGGCGAACACATCGTAGGCGGATTTCCTGTGGGTCAGATAGTGGGTAAAAACAGTGGCCTCTCTTCCTCCTCCTCCTCCGGAAAAATCCCCCTACCTGCGCGGCATGGCCGGAATGCCCAGGCCCGCTCCATCTGCCCCCAGTCCCAGCGCCGGTCCCCCGCCGCCCATGCTGCCGCCCACGGGGCCGGTCTTCATGTCGTCGTCGTAGCTGTGCTGCCGGGCCACCCGCGACCCCCTCCGCGACTGCATGCGGGACAGGGGCGCCCCGAAGGGGGCTGTCCATCCGCGCCATCGCCCCTCGGCGGACTGTTGGAGCGACTGGGCGCCATGCTGCGGCCGCCTTTCAGTTGCTGGAAGGGGGTGATAAAAGGGTTAGGATGTTCAACAAATAGCTTTTCATAAAAGGATATTGCATAGATTTTAACTGCTTTAGTTTAGAATTTGTAAGCGTGAGCTGTCATTTTACTAGTTTCGTAATCTACATATTCAGAATCGCTTAAAATAATTATTTAACTCAAATTTTTACTTTTCCTTGATCAACCAATCCTCAAATTATGCAATGTGAAATCTTCTAGTGATCAAAATATATTTTATATATATATTTATTATTCTATAAAAGCTAATAAATATATTTTATATGTGTTGTAAATGCAACTAATTAAACAAAGATTGCAAAACCATCAAAAATAATTTTGGTTTACTTTGAATTCTAACCTGTTGATGAAAGAAAAGCGTTTCTTTAAAAACAAAATAAATATTTTTGTATCATTTGGCGAAATACAAAGGACAACTAAAATGCTCTTTTCTTGTTCAGTATGCGGTAAAATATTCTTGAGTTAATTAAACCTATTAAACATTTCTTAGGACTTCTGATTTCATGAATGCTTTATTATAGTAATGAAAAGTTTTGCCAGAGTTGACTTCTAGCCTAAGCTGGATTTAAAATTAAATCAACAACTGAACTTTATTTTATTACTGGGGGTTATTATTTTATTATAATTATTTTATTGTAATTATTTTATTGTAATTATTTCAATATATTTTTTAACAACTTACCCGTTCCAACTCCTTGAGCGAGGCTGGCGATACGTCGGAGTGGCGCCGCAACTCGGGACTTCTCGGCGGGGCGAGGGCTGCTCCGTTGCTGGGCGCCAGCGTCTGCGTGCTGCTGCCCAACTTGGCGTCCGAGTGGCGCCGCTGCAGTGCCTCCAGCACCGGGACGTCCAGCATGGAGTCCGTCGAGTCCTGCGGAATGCACACACGCGAGGCCATTTTCCGGCGGCACACGCTGCAGCGCCACATGGTCTGGGGGAAAAGGGAGGAGGCGGGGAGGGAAAATCAATTGACATTGCTGTGGCAACGCGGCATCAAGTATACGCAGCGTTAATTAAAATTTGCAGCTTAGCGCTGGAATCTATTTGCGGCCGCACACAGCGCTCGCTAATATTTATTAGTGGCCAGCGAAAGCTCAAGAAAACCCATTATGCTGGGCTGCGAAAATAAATATTAATTACTTTCAGAACAAAACTTTTCACCCCACGGCGAATGGCGTCGAGCACGTTGCAGAAAAATCCTATTTCCAGGACCTCCACACCCACACACCCGCACACCCACACACAAATTGAAGGGGACACAGGTGCACCTGCATCATCGTCATCCCCTCAAGTCCGCCTCGCTGCATTTTCCACTTCCTTTTTCCTTTTTCCGCGGCACGCCCGCACAATGCTCGTTACATTTCCACCTGGCTGCTGATTCATTTTGCCCAGCGGCTTCAATCGTCATGTGTGTCACCCCGTCCCCTCCGCCCCCTCCTCCCATTTCCACCTCTTTTTTTGCCCCATATTCAATGGCTGCCCTGGCGGAAGCTGCCGCCATTGTAATTAAGTCGCTGCACGGAGAAAAACCACCGAAAACGGTCAGCAATTCGGTTTTATAGGTTGCAAGTTGTGGCATGTCAAGTTGTCTGTTAGGATGAATGGGAATTTTGTGTGATTAGGTATTAGATTGCAAATGCTTACCATTTACTAAAGGAGATAATCATTCTACCATATTTGTAATTTCTAGATACAATTTTTATATGAAATTTCAATCAACCAAAACTCTTTATATAACTTCAGAATTATTAATTTTTAAAACCCTTAACATTTGTTTAGGAAGTACTGGATATCAATTCAACAAAATTAGTTGTTTAGTTATTTTTTTTTCGGTGCACCTATGCACATGGCCGGCACTGTACGCCGCAGCTGCGACCTGAAACTAGAGCCCGGCTCTGGTTTATTGCCTCCGTGCTCCCCAGTTGCGTGCTCTGTAATTACACGGTGCTGCAGTGCGGCAGTGTGGCTGCCAGTTCATGATCCCATCGAGAAATCGACTGAAAAGTTATTTCCTAGCTGCCACAGCAACGTCAGACGAAGAAGAGCAGTCAAGCTCACTGCATGCTCATGGAAATTTAAGATTTATTTTGCGTTCATCGCGTATGCAACGGCAGGCGGAAATCGATTTTGATGTGCGAGCTTAGGTCTAAGCAGGAAGTCGAGCATGAAGCGGCAAATAAGCCATAACAAATTTCAAAATAATCAACACTCACTCGGAAATCTATCAGGAATTTCGGTTTGTCAGTCCTCGTTTAATCAGTAATCGTTTATTGATTATGACAATGTTGTGACAAAGTTTTCAAGATTTTATTATCTCTAAATATATAAATAAATCTGTCATTGAAGCATGAAATCCTTTTACCCTTCAAGTTGCAAATGCTTTTCTCAGAGATATTATTAACGTCGTTGGCAATGCAAATTAAATCTTCCACATCATAACTTTTGCCGCTCAAACTGGTGATTTTTAATCACTAGATTTGTACGTGGCATTTCTGTGGTCTATTTTATGATTGGCTTCCAATTATTTTGGCAACTTTCGAAAGATTTACATGCGACACTGATTTGTGTAGCGGTTGAAAAGTGGTTTAATTGGTCAACTAACAAGCCATACCAAATGTTAAGCTTTCATTTGAAGTGAATATAGGAAAACGATAAGTGGAAGTAAAACAGGTATTTGAAAATACAAGTACTTTATTACCATCTCCATTTCTCCGAGTGACTGAAATCAAATTCCCATTTGGCATTGACCATAAGTAGAGTGCATGAACAATCGCATGGCTGTCTAGTGTCCAGTTTACCAGTATGTATGCTCTAAATGATTATTTCAGAAGCGAAGCCTCTGAATGATATGGAACATCCTCCTCCACATCCATCTCCACCTCCATCGGACCCATAATTACGCTGGGCGGGCATAACAGGCGGTTGTTGTGGGCTGGTTGTGTGCTGTATCCTGTAGTCAACGCCCATGAACATCAATTTCAATTAGCCAAAGTGGCCAGGTTGACAGACAAACGTTAAATTTTATGTACAGGGCGTTGGCGTGGCTTCTTGACAAATTACCACAAGTTCGGGTGAAGACAATGTTGCACGGTGTGGTTATCAATGATCATTATGCGGCAAGTGTTGACAGGAGATGGTAGAGAACAGGAGAAACAATGAACAGGGAGCAGGACATCGGACTTCGGACATCGGAGGAGTGCAACCGAATTCCCCTACCCTCCAAAAAGGGGATGCCATTTAATCTCGTTAATTCGGCCTTTATCTTGTTAATGTCCCGCGATGAATAGGCCGCAGTTAGGCCCAGTTGGCCATTGTCACCGAACCCCTTTCGCCACTGCCCGTAATCTAATTTATGTTCACTGACCCATGCCTCCCCTTGGTTGCCACCCACGCAGTCATTATCACGGCAAACAATTTTCAATTCTACGCTTTGTTTTTCTAAACGACTTTGCCATTTTAGGATGAGTGCAAAAAGTTTCTTTGTCCTTAAATGACAACTGACGGAATACAGATACAAATCACATTTTTATATGCATCATAATATTTGGCATTATAAAAACTTTCTTTATTATTCTCACAACATGTTCTACGTTTTATATCGAAAGTTTCTTTCATTAAGAATTCATTTGGTTCACCAGTTATTGCAGTTATTTCTTTGACTTATAAACAGTAATGAAGTAATAAATTTATATATTTAAAAAGTGTCCGATAGAATAATTTGATAAATTACATATTAAATGAGGACTAAAACAAGTGTTACCTCGTATATTTTGAAGTCTTTGGGAGTAGTTTAATATCACATATTAAATTATTCTGATTTTTTAAGTGATATTCCCTTGCTTAAGCCACCTATTTTCCCCCAGTGCTCGACGCCCTCGACTATTTTCTTATTAATGAAGTGCCGCCGAGAGCCTGTGTTTATTTTTGCCGCGCAACTACTCGACCATGGGGCATTGCCTAGTGGCACGGAAGGTGCATCCTGGTGCCCTTTTTCCCTTTCCCTGTGTTCCCGCATCCCATGTCCTGCCAACTTACCGCATCCTCGTGCTCGTCCAGTTTGCTGTAGCTGGCGCAGTCCTCGCACACCCGCTGCTGGCACTCGAAGCACGTCTTGTGGTAGTCGTCCGGCTTGAAGGACTTGAGGCACACCCTGCAGGCGCCCGCCCTTCGTCCTGGCTCCTGTTTGGCCGCCGCCCCGCCCCCTCCGCCTCCGCCCGTGGTCGCCGAGCTGCTGCTGTTATTGTTGTTGTTATTCAGACTGCCGCCGGACTCCTGCTGCATTTGCTGCTGGCTTTGATAGCTGGGCGAGCCGTAACTGCCGCTGGTATCCGCCTCCGTCGGCACCAACGAGGGGCGTGGCGACATTTTATTAACTTTGGAAAGAGAGAGAGAGAGAGAGAGGGCGTTATGTTATGCAATCAATTAGGAAGGCAACCAAGCAAAAAGCCAACCCTCTGGCTCAATGGAAACTTGTTGACTGCATGGACTGACCCAAATGCAGTGTGTGTTTGCCATACCATTCTATGTTTAATTTGTTGTCAGCACACATAATTTGTTTGGTCTGCTAATTGCCCAAGCGACTGGCAATGCAATAAATGAATTAATAATCGGCTATAACGGAAATTTTCGACAGCCTTCGTTATTCATTAAGGGAGAAGGCTAAAAGGATGCAGTGTAAATGGCAGCCAAATTGCATTTATTGCAATCGGTAGATATGGCGAAATAAAAGGGAAGTTGGTGATCTAACATTAAATAAGATATATATCATAAAAAATAGTTAATTTATATTTTTACCAATAATGGTTATCCTAGATGACATTGAAACCAAATGGAAAATATTATGTAGAAGCAAAGTTAACATTTGGCATTAATACTATATATTTACCTACTAACTGGTATTTTAAACAAACATTTGTAATGAAGGAAACTTAAATAAAACCATGTTGATAAATTAAATAAAATATGAGTTTGCCTGTGCGACTAAAGCACTCTCCTAAATTACATGAAATCACTTATGCAACATTTGATTTTTCATTCTAAGTGAGTTTTTTCTAGAACGCTAAGACCCGACAAACTGAAGCCTTTTTCCCTGAACTGGCACACATTTATATGATTATATGAGTTTATACAGCGTGTGTGTTTTATATATTTCACCCTTGAGAAAATGGTGAAAAGTTTTATGCGGCCCGGAAAAAGTCGCGGTGCATTAGTCACAGTCAGGAGACAAGGACAAAGGCGTGCTTTTCTTGTGTGTGCCCTGCATTGCTCATACGCACAGTTGCACCTTGTGCTTTTTCACCTTTTGGCAACTCACGCTTGACATTTTTAGCCGTAAAAGTGGCAAAGCAAATATAAAACAATGCCAGGGAAAACCTGCAAGGAAAAACCTTTTTTTTCCTTTTTTCCTGTTGCGAAAAGCGATTTCACCTGCTCAAGGGAACACTCAGGCAACAGAAAAGATAAAAGAACTGCGCAACTATTAAAGTATCTGCAAGTTTTTCTGTTTTTAAATTATGTGTGAGCTCCTGACTGTGGTTAGCCACAAAAAATCTGGAGATTTGCCAACTGCCACGAAGCGCACTTCAGCAGGATGCATTCTTTGGGGAGTTCAAAGGAACACAAGTGCCAAAATATTTGCACAAATTATGTGCGCAAATCTGTCTCTTTCTTTTACGACACTGCTAAATAAACATCATGAAACGAGATTTCATTTCGTTCTAATAAATCGAATGGCTTGCCCATAAAATCAAGAATCCACAGCGTTCGCTTAGCTGGTGGCAAACTAAAATGTGATAAAAATAACACAAAAGTCAACACCACGTTCTCATGTTTCCCGCTGCTTTTGCTGGTACTACATATTAAATAAATACAGCAGGGCCTAAAAAAATAGTGGCATTGACATGCATTTAAACAAAAAAACATAAAATATATCAACGGCTTTTTATATAAAATAATTCTTATCAGGGAAAAATATATATCTGATTATGCGTTCTTTTACAAGAAAAATGGCAAGTGCTACAGAACTAATGCTGATGTTCGATGCATATTTTAATAGTGATTTGTGGTTAGGTTATATTATGGTTTATTTTATATGAGTAAATAAAAAAGTTCAGTCAATACAATTTTTTATAACTATTATTTTGAACAGAACTGTAACTATAGCTGATGCTGAAACAGAAGTCCACCGAATTTATTGACTTCTTGGCAGCATTTATGGACCCCATAACAATGACAGTGTGAATGTCGATGACTTGGCATTGCAGTAACCACTGACCCCTTGCATAATTCAATGTGCGATGCAAACGAGCGTGAGCATCAAATATTGCGTATACGCGCCGTTAGCCGCCGAAAGCTCATCGCCAAGACTGACGTGCACTCGCAAAAACACACGAACACACAAAGTTTGCATAAAGTTTAGCCAGCAGCTTTACGGGCACTTGTATGAAAATTCATGCCATAAATTCGCATGCACTTACGGCAAGGATAACCGGCAGGATAACTTACCTTTGTCTGTGACGGTGAGCAGCGAGGAGGAAATCGTGGCCTTCATCTTGTTCAGGGCCCCCGTTTGGGTGGCCCCGCCCCCGGAATCCGCCGCATGTTGCTGCCGTTCGCTGGCCTGCTCATCGGTGGCCACCATCTGCGGGAAATAACAGAGGAAAAGCGGAGAAGGTGAGAGGTCAGCGGGCGGGGCTAAGCAAAAGTAAATGTGGATAAGTATTGGCGTATCGAGCTCTGGGTTTGATTTGCGGCAGCTGTAAATCTTTATTCGGGTCTCGGCTGGCCATGAACATAAAACGTGGTTCAAAACGATGAGATTATTGGCCGTGTATTACTACGCCAAGTTACCCGCTTTCATCAGCTAAGAGACTTATGCAACTGCTGTTTTTTTATTAAAAAGGTTTTGAGGTATGTAATCTGCAATGGATCAACTAAACCGATTTTAAAAATTCAAATAAAATGGGTAACGTGATTAGTCTAAGGCAGTATTAAACACAAATAAACAATATGTATTACCAAAGGTTATGAATTAATAAGAAACTAAATAAATTGTATTTTGTTATCGCTTACACACATTGATTTCATTAAAATTAAATTTCCTGGCAACCTTTCTTTTGGTATAAGGTTAATATAATATAAGCAATTTCTTCAAATCATTTTCAAATCCCGCAGCTTAACTAAACCAGACGAATATTATCATTAAATTCATAGGAAGGCAGCAGATTTTCCTGTGAGTAAGGATACAGGTTATTATCCTGGTGTTTTTCAGATTCTCCGCTTTTTTTTTTTGCCCAGTCATCACGGGCACGCAGGTGAAAGTAACGCGGTGCGTTTTATTTGATTTTTTCTGGGTCTTGCTGGAGGCGTCTGAAGCGCAACAAATTGCCAAGAAATCGTAAAGTGTGGCAAGTAATTTTTGATTAAACAACGGAGGACCAGCCAGCAGCCGGAGCGGCTTTCAAAAATTGCCGTCATTCTTTTTAATGCATACCGAAGGTGTGAGAAGGGGGATTCACCGGGCTTAGCTGTGTGTGTCTGTGTATGTGTGTGTGTGTTTATGTTTCAGAGGGAAGAATAACAATTGGAGGCGACTAGCCGACCAGCCGAGCCCCGAAAACATAAGTGCTGCTCTGCTCTGTCAGCATTTTATGAAGTGGAAATTTTCTATTTGCCAAAGCGCCAACGAAACCGGAACAAACAGTCGCTCTGTTCTCTACACAGAAAACAAAATATGGAATGGGATTTGATGTTTACTTAAAGTAAAGGAATATTAAGATGATATAAAATATGAATAAAATTGAATCATATAAAAAAGTACAAAATTTAATGCATTACATTTAATTACCATTTATTTATCAAACCTCTAAAAACTGTTATAAGTGATATTGAAATTTATATCCTTACTGAATTGAATTATTTATTGGTCTATTGATATATCTCTTAACTAATTGTCTTTCTATATGTAAATGTATAAGGGTCTGTTTAATGTTTAATCTAACATATATTGGTCATGAGAAAATCCTGCAATGGATTATAATATTTTTTCCTATGCATTAAGGACGGCCCATATAGGACCGCCTTCTCGCTCGCACTGCGCAAATTACACTAAGTGCTTTTGGCTGCAGCGTTTTCGGTTGTCTACCTTTTGGGGGTGGGGGTTTATAGGGTTTTAGGGGGTTACGAGGGGGGATTAGGGGTTTCAGGGGGCCCAGGGACTCTAGGTCCCAAACTCTGGCTGGAACTAAGCGGCATCTAGTGTCAGATTATGGCCGCTTTGTGCTCAGCTTGGGCTACATTTTTGATGATGTCATTTGATGTCGGCCTGGTAATATTCATGCTGCGGATTTATGGGCTCTTTCATTTTCCCTGCCAACTTTTGCGGGCAGCCCATGGAATCTTAGTGTAACGTAGAGTTGAGGTACCCAGCTACAACCCAACCAACAACCAACTTAATTTATGTGCTCAGGTGTCTGAGGCTATTTTTCTTGCGCAAGGGTAAACTACTCCTCTACATTCCTCTCGCTTTTCTGCTCCCCACACAATTATTGCCGTGTTAATTTTGTCATTTATTATGATTTTTTGCTCTGACGACGTCTGGGTCTTATGGCCCGAAGCCGCAAATAGTTTCATGTTTAGTGCCGAAAATTATGTGTTGACGTTTAAGAGCTGCTGTTGCCGCTTCCGTGAATTTTCCTCCGCTTTTCCACTCGCTTTTCCTCCACTTTTTCACTCGCTTTTCCGACCCCTCCACCATCAGAACAATAATATGGCGCGCAATATGTGCGCCCTTAATGGCCGCAAAGTATGCTACATAAAACAGCAGTCAATGCGAGATGAAATGAGGAGAAAGTTGGTCGCCAGCACGGGGAAAGTTGCGCCTTGTCTGCCATGATTGAATGCGTTTGCATTTCGCCAGGACAGACATCCTTGCAGCCGGAATGGAAATCAATAGCAACTGAAATGAAAGCAGCGAGCAAATACTTTGCCACTTAAAAGTTGCACACAAGTTTACAACGAATGTCTTACGGAAAACGTCAGTGTGCGGTGGAAAAAATACAAGATACATTTTCTTTAACAGCGCTTTGTTTAAGATGAATAATGAATAATTTAACTAAATATTTAACGGCCACCCCTGAAGTTACTTCTTACATTTTGAAATGATTATAGTATACTATGTTATACTAAATTTAGTTTTATTTTTTTTTAAACTTCTCACCCGAGTAATAAGTAGTTTGTGGGGCAGGCACGTGCTTGCCATTGAACCCAAGGCTCCGTACTGCCTGTTGCAAGTTGCCTGTTGATGTTTATGGCCTGCACCCAGGCACAATAAAGTGCAGCACACAGACAACGGCCAACCTACTGGACACGTGTGGTCAGGATGGCATGGTCAGGATGTAATGGCCAGGATCTGTCCACAGCTAGACGGCAACCGCAAGCAAATGTGTAACGAGCCAAGTGCGGCAGTTGCTGGGGAACTTTACAGCGGCAGGACTATTAAGAAAATTGCTGCAAATAAACTGCAGGAGGTGGTCCTAGACCGACCTCACCATTTATGCCCCAGCGAGTGTCCTTTGATGTCCTGCGGCCCCTTCGCATTTGTCGCCGCATTCCAAAATACCCCGACTGGCTGTTAGGCATTTGAATGGCAAATAGAAAAAGTTTGCCAAATCCTTTTTTGCCAACAGACTTGCTAACAGACTGTCAACGGCTCATCATTGTCTTGAGATGGGTTCTTTTCTGGCTGGCAGGCTGTAGAAGTTGGAGCGCTTTGATTTCGTGCTTCATTTGGTCTAATCAAACTTGGCGAAAACACAAAAATCTGCAGCACTTAGTTTGGCTGGCATTTGCTTGTCAGCCGGCATTTTCCCAGCCCTTAATTTCCAACTTGGTTTTTATTAACTTTGCAAAGAATTTTGTGCCAAACAGGAATTTCTACGGAATTTACACTCTTCGAAGGCAGCTCCTTCGCTTCCTTTTGTGTGTTATTTTTGGCTTCACACCAGCCCACCAGCTCATGTACCTATAATTTTATTCTTTCTTTTCCCCCAATCCCGAAAACAATTTCCGCATTATAAAAAAGGGACACCAAACCCAAAGCAGGTGCTCGGCAGGATAATTGAACCACTTCGATTGCCGCCAGTCCGTTTGCGTTTTTATGTGTATTTTTGATATTTTTCGGGCTCATAAACAAAAGGGAAAATCAGTCAGGCGGGCAAAGCATTTAAAGGGCTTTTTAATTAAAAAGTTTTGTTTGCCCTTCCGCAGGGCGTTTGTTTTTGAAGCCTGTTTGAAAAGGTCTTAAACGATTTGAAAAGCTCGAACCTTATCCTGCAGTTGCTTTGTGTATGCAATTTTTGAAAATAATAATATCAGAATAACATTTACAAGTTGTTAGGAAGTTAAAAAATTAGAATAAAAAGAACTAGGTTTTCATAAAAGATTAAATAAATAATAACCAGTTATTAAAACTTTTTAACAATAACTTAAATATATGTTTTTATACCCTTGCAGAGGGTATTATAATTTCAGTCAAAAGTTTGCAACGCAGTGAAGGAGACATTTCCGACCCTATAAAGTATATATATTCTTGATCAGCATCACCAGGAGAGTCGATCTAGCCATGTCCGTCTGTCCGTCTGTCCGTCCGTCTGTCCGTCCGTCTGTCCGTCTGTCCGTCTGTCCGTCTGTCCGTCTGTCCGTCCGTTTCTACGCAAACTAGTCCCTCAGTTTTAAAGCTATCTGCTTGAAACTTTCCCAAAAGTTGTCTTTCTATTGCAGGTAGTATATAAGTCGGAACGAGCCGGATCGGGCCACTATATCATATAGCTGCCATATAACTGAACGATCGGAAATGCCATATCTTTGGTGTTTTTAAAGTTAGGAAGTTGGGATTTTCTATGGGTTTTATTTTTGGCTAAAAAATCCGACCTGCCAAATTTCATAAGGATCGGACGACTATATCCTATAGCTGCCATATAACTGATTGATCGGAAATGCCATAACATTGGTGTTTGTAAAGTTAGGAGGCTGGGATCTTCTATGGATTTTATATTTGGTTAATCAATCCGACCTACCAAATTTCATAAGGATCGGCCGACTATATCCTATAGCTGCCATATAACTGATTGATCGGAAATGCCATAACATTGGTGTTTGTAAAGTTAGGAGGCTGGGATCTTCTATGGATTTTATATTTGGTTAATCAATCCGACCTACCAAATTTCATAAGGATCGGCCGACTATATCTTATAGCTGCCATATAACTGAACGATTGGAAATGACATAACTTTGTTGTTTTTAAAGTTAGGAAGTTGGGACTTTTTTTAAGTATTAAGAATGCATCATATGAATAATTTTGGAGAATATAATTTATAGAATATTCTGCAAGGGTATATCAACTTCGGCTCCGCCCGAAGTTAGCTTTCCTTTCTTGTTTTTATTGAAAATATCAATTGATGTTTAAATTTACGATTTTGGGAATTTTCCACCATTCAACATTTAAGTGTATGCACTTCTTGAACAGAGGCAAACGAGTAATAAATTCGGTTTTATTGCATTTCATTTGGCTGCTCATTATCAGCAGGGAATAATTAAAGAATCACAACTGGCGGATGAAAATGAAATTAAGCATAAATTACGAGCTTCTGCCAGAGACAACAAGGCCGGTGCGCAGTGATTTATATATTCATTAAAAATCGAAGTGTCACTTACCTTCTTCATGAATGACATCACATTTGTTGGCAACATTTTGACGGCTTTTTTACTGCGTTTTTGTTTGGTTGAGAATTGGTTTTGCGTTCGTCGTTTTCCGTGTGTATTTAAAGTGCAATTAATCATGCATCCGCCGTGTTGGACGTTGCGTATACGTTATGTTCGCTTTGTTCTGCTCGCTGGTAAGCCGGTTTAAGTCATTTCGATTTGGATTGTTTTCGTTTCTCTTGGCCATGCTCTTGTGTATTCTGTCCTCTGAGGGCCATTTTTCATTGGCCATGTAAATAGGCATTGACATGGGGGATATTGGCACTCCAGTTCTACATGTTGTGCCTGCTCTCGATCCGGATTGATTTATGTGCAGCTCTAGTTCCACTCTTGGCTTTTAATTAACTTTGGCCATAATTCACAAACGTTATTATTGCCGCCGGCTGCAGCTGCTCCTTTTTGGTGGAAAACATGGAAAGTACACCGAGAAAGAGGCGGAAAATTATAATTAGTCATTTGGCAGTAGAAGGCAAGTTGCACGCGGCGCTTAAGGAGCTCAAAACACGGACGTGTAATGGTCCGCCCGACTTACACCGTACTTAGCCGGGCTCCATAAATTTCCCTACGATAACCATCAACAGTGTTTTGGGTTTTCCCGCTCCCCATAACCAGCCCACCAATACAGTCACACACACGCTTATGCTGAAAAGTGGCGAAAGTTTATAAGGCGGAAATAATGTGTCGCCCGGCATGCAAAAGTGCCTTTTTCATTGTGACCTCTATAATAAGTTGGCCCTGTTAAGTGGGTTAGCCAACGAAACCGTAAAGTTAGTGCCCGAAACTGATTTTCAATAAGTTATATTAACCCTGTCCCAAGTTAGAGCTTTAATAGAGTGAAGTTGCTTTGAAGCCACTGTTTTAGGAGCAGTTAGCAGCGAAACACAGGGAAAAATTTTATGAAATTTGGAAACTAGTATCCATTGGTAATAATAATAATATTTTATGTTTTAGAAAATCTAAGCTATATTCATTACAGATTTAAATTAAAAATACATTTAGAATGGCGTTTTACAATTTCCAAATACAAAATTTGAAAACCCCAAACAAGATAATTAACAAAGCTTTTTTGACAAGTTTTAGTATTCATTAAATTTTTATGCCAACATAAATATTAAAGAAATAAAAAATGATTTTTTAAAGAATTTTTTCTCAGTTCATGGCTGCTTTGTTAAGCTCTTTGGCTGACTGATAAGCTGCTCCAGACTATCGCCATCAAGCAGAGCAATCAGAATGCTTTGGCCAGCTTATCGGGCATTCACTGCAGCTGGGTTGTACTGCACATAAAGGGGAAACTCGGAGCTGGCTTTGCTGTTTGCCTGGAAATGGAATTATTAAATGAAATGACCCACATAGCAATTCAATTGTCGAGCTATCCGCTCGATTTGAGCTGCATAGGGATATATGTGCATGCTATAGGGATATATGGGGCATTTGCAATTCCCAATTCCCCAATTCCCATTGATGTTGCCGGGACAACGGATTAAAAGCAGAGGGATGCCGATCGAGTTTGAAGTTGCAAACTTTGAGCCAAGTCATTGTCACAGAATGCAGTTAGTCGACAAGGGTCTCTCTTTTTTTGGCCATTCGAAAACTTCATAAAAATTGATTCGAGATAGTTGTCGACATGGGGAATGTGTTTACGCCCAATGAAATTCCCGACTTTCCAAATGAGCTGGCGAACTGTCGGGCAAACTTTTAAATTGTATTTGGGGAAAAGCGAAAATTAGTTGCCGCTTGAAGCTGTCAAAATGCCAGCGACAGGACATGCATTCCGCGCAGCGAAATCAGGACGAGATGATTTTTGGAGGAAGATGTAAGGCAAAGTGTTACAAGTGTTTGTTTGAGGGCGAGGAGAGAGGGGGTCCTGGGGAAAATGGTTGGAAAAGGGGCGGAAAAGCGACGGCAGGCTCTCGTGCTTACACAAGCTTAGCGCGCAAGGATGTGCTCATAAATTGTAACTTTCCGTTGCCGTCGTCGTTGTTGTTGCTGTTGGTGTTGGTGTTGGTAACAAGCATGAAATCACATAAACACACACACACACGCACACTGTGAAATCAACAGGACGAAAGGACGAGGCCGGATGCTGGCAAAGTTTCAGCCAACTTGGTCGGCTGTAGTTGGCACCCAGTTAATTAGCGCGAAATTGGGAGAATGAGTTTCCGAATCGGGCTCTGGGCTTTGGGCCAAAAACGAGCTGCCGGCGGCCAAGAGCCTTCGTCCTGTGCATGCTAATGTAACTGATCAGATTGCCATTAGCATTAAAGGACACTATGTGTGTGTGTGTGTGTGTGAGTGTATGTTTTGGATATAATACATGCATTAAATAAAGTCCAACAAGATTTATCAACCACTCGCCTAGATCCTGTGCAGGACCCGGGATCCAAGGACATCGCAATTGTCACGCACAGGCAAACAAAGCTCGGCCAAAACAAAAAAACAGGCAGTAACCGTAGCCAAATCGAAATTGAAACGCTCGCATATAAAATAGAGTGTACTACACAGGAAGAAATTGTAAAAATTAGTTGCGAAAGTTTTAATTTTTTCTATTTTAGAAAAATACAGCAGAAGGACATGGATATATCAACATGTCTAGTAATGCTCATCAAGAATATTTATACTTTAAAAGGTCGGAAATGTCGCCTTTACTCGTTTAAAACTTCTAACCAAAAATTATAATACTCTCAGCCAGAATATACTGAAACTTTTTTCCTGTGTATCTCTTGTTAGAATATTTTTTTCAAATTTGTTTTATATTTTTTCTGTGTGTGTGTGGGCTGCGGCAAACTTTCAATGCCCGGCAATTTATTGGGACTAACGTCACACAGGGTGTCAAAGTGAATTGTTATGCCGGAACGTGCATGGGACACAAATTAAGTGCAGGCCAGTCCGAAATAAATGGAGGAAAAATACGGCAAAAGCAATTCCTCAGCCAAATGAAGCGCAACAGCTTTTGAACCGGGAATAAAAAAAAAGAGATGGACCAAGAGCAGCATCAGGTCCAATTGCAGTTGAGAAATCGCAGCGCAGTTCATAAATAAACCGGACAGCAGGAGGCATCGTCAGAATCGCCAGAATCACCAGATTCAGCAGCAGGCGAGCTGCGAAAGGGAAACCGACCTCATGAATGGCATGAATGAAGCGTTGTCAACAAAGCCAAGCGATGGGGGATTTCCCCGGCGAGTCTGCAGATAACAAAACCCGGGCAGTGTGGTGACCTCCTCCCTTTTTTGTCCTGTTGCTCGCCTTGTTAACACACTCCGTGCTCCGTTGTTGTGGGCTGAACGCCAAAAGGATAGCAAAGGATATTAAAGGATACCGAAGGATCCGAAGGACCAGAATAAAATGAGTGCCGAGTTACCCACTCCTACCAACACTCCATCTCTCAACTACTTGAGGTGCCTGCACAGAAAGTGTGCGTGTGTGTCACTTGAAACTATGAAGAATCATAGTTTATCGATCTCGGGGAAAATTAATTTGCCTTTCGAGAACATGGGAAAGTTTTGAGGGCATAGCTTCAGAGAGCAGAGGAACTTTCAAGGAGCGACAGGGAAATCCAATAACACGTGCAAGCTGCCTTCAAATGTTAAGTTTGGGAATTCATTAATTAAATACTTTAACCAGTTCACAGAAATAGAATTCAGTCTAAACAAATGTCTAAAAGCATGTTAATTAATTATTAATTAATTATGTTAATTTACAAAAAATTTAAATGAATTGGTTTTATTTCATTTTAAGTTTGTTTAAGTGCTAATTGCCTACTTAAAATATTTAATTCGCTCCCATTTTATATAAAGCTAAAGGAGAAAGATCTTACCGTTTTATTAACATATTTATTTCCTAAGATTGAATTAAAGTATAAACTATAATAAATAACTTGATTATAATAAGTAGTTGCGAGTTTTTCGCACTGTGTGGCTGCGGTAGGCAACATTGTTGCCAAAACAGGATTTTTAATGAACCTGCGACCGCGGCCTGTTTGCTCCTGGCCATCCGCTCATCAGGACATGGACATGGACATGGGCATCCACGTCCAACGGCCAAGTGGCAAACGCACGGGATGTCAACGCCATGGCTGGCTAATTGACAGAGACGGGCTTACGTGGCGGATACTCGATCTTGCCGACCCCCTTTTCCTGCCGCCTTTCGTTATCCTTGGAAAGGTTTAATTGCTGGAAATAAACAGAAGAAGTTCGAGGATGTTGTGGGCCGACCGAACAGATTGCTGCCTGATTCTGATTGTGAATCCGAATCCGAATTCGAGTCCCTTTCATGCAGCACATGGCCATTTCCATTTACAATTTCCCCAGGATTTTCAGGATTTTCGCCATGCTGAACACGTACGCGGCAAAATGAAATAAAACTACGCCCACCGAAACGCTCGGCTTTTTCAGCAGGAGTCACAAACAAAGGCTGGCAATCGTTTAAACTGCTGCCAAACTCAATTATTCAAATGCCAGCGAGTGGGGGGCGTGGCCGCGGAGAAGGGGGCGTGGCAAAGGTGCAGGGAACGTGGCTCATGTGCTTCAAGTGGCACTCGCTTTGCGGTCGCACACGGCGATACTTGCAACTTGACATTTAATCAAAGCAAAAGCCTAAGCGAGAGTCCTTCAGAAGGCTCATGCCTCCTCGATTTCCCCTCAAGGACCTGCGTCGTTTTGCGGTCTGGCCGCAAAACTGTTGACACGTCGTCGTTCTCCATATCTGGTCGACTGTATCCCGACTTTCATCTTAATTGAAATCGAATCAAAGTGTTTTCGTTCAACAAATCAAATTGTCTGCTGCACGCATTGTTCGACACAATCTGTTTTGGCCAACTGTTGCCACCAACTAATGACCCGGCATTGTGTTCTGGCTTCTAGGTTTTACACTCAATTTGCTGGTATTGTGGCTTATTGTTTCATAAATTATTTATTAGAAAATTTTATTTGTCCTCGTTCTCGTTCTCAGTTTCGTTCTCTTTGTTTGTTACTTTGGCCCCAAGGGAATTTGACCGGGCTTTGTGTGTGGAGATATTTGATTATAAACTGGAACAGAAACTGAAACTACAACATGGATACACACACTTCACAATACCAGTTGTTGCGTGCCACGACTTGGGCAATTGGATTATGGAACCAATGTTGTTGGTCCGAAGTGCGTTTGATTCCTTATCCTTCTACAATTCCTCCTGCGAGTGGACAAAGCTTTTGGGCAAGGGCTTATTGGACAACGCAATCCCATCGCCCAAATGCACTGTGCTACACAATCAATATCAAACAACTGGCGAGTGCTTGGCAAATATTACACACAAGCTCTGTTTGCTATTAGGAGGAATTACGCATACGCAGTGTGCACATCAGACATTACGACAGAGAGAGAAATAACAATAGGAACAATTTTCTTAGCAGAAATACCTTTTAGTCACTACTAATAATATGTTATTATCCATAATGACCATTTATAAAACTATAAATCTAGTAGGAAAAATGTTCAATATTCAACTTTACTAAAGTTCAGTAAATTTCTTAGGTCTTCTCCAAATATTATATTTCTATTCAATATTCAGTTTATGAAACATTTTAAGACTTTATAATTTTAATGCAATTTTTTGTTTTGCATAAAGTTTTTTTAACAAGCTTAGCAAAACAAACTTTACAAATGTGAGTTTATGTTGAAAGTTTCTTGTTTAATCCCAACCCTTTTTTACTCGTTAATTAATGATTTGAAGAGCGGAAGTTAATATTTAAATTTAATATTCTGATATGAGTGAAAGTGCTGTGAAAAACACACACTTTTTAAAGGGAAATAAGAATGTTTTTCCCGTGAAGAGCAATAAACTTAGTGCCAAATCAACTTGATATGGATATGGGCACAAAACCCCTGAGCTCGCCAGGTGCTCATTAACGCTTTGTAAAATGTGCAGCTCGACGACTATTTTCTTGCATGACAACACGCAACGCTGCCACGCCCCCTTTCCACTCCCCCTTTCCCGAGGGGGCGTCGCATTTTCGCATTTATGACGTCGCGCCAACGTGTCAACCTCATTAGGAATGCGTGAAATTCAACACAGTCTCATCAGAATTTAAGGGCAGAGACAGTGCGTAATTGTCGCTTTGTCGCATAAAACCAAGGAAACGCTACTTAACTTTTATATCAGAGCATCATTTCTAGGCATTCCCTGATTTATTCGCTGCAAAAACTTTATATTAATTACGCACGGCTGGCATAGAAAATTAAATCAAACGAAGCGGAGAACAAAAAAAAAGTGTAGGGTATAAAAACCGAACCTCGTAATAACAAAGGCCCCGACAAACCAGAAAAAAAGGCTTAATGGCCGTTAAGCGATGGCACGACCGTAAAGATTTGGGCAGACTGGGATCCTGAGAGCAAAGTGACCGCAATTAATTAACCACAAGGCGGCGAATGCCGCTGGCAATAAAAAATAATTATAATTATTTTCAGTAAGTGCTCGCAAAATGAGACTTGTACACTCATAAAACAAGAACCAAAAGACCTAAGTGTAAAAACAATTTACAAAAAATTTGTAAAGCACTTTTTTTTTGATTAATGTGAATTTTTGAATATTTATTGGGTTATATGTATTTTATCCAATTAATAAATAGCTCTTAGCTCTTAACACAATGACACATTTTCGGGAAAAATGGCAATCTTAAATGCCTTGCAAAATTTCTTGAGTTAAACAAACTTTTAAAAAGAAGGTAGACATAAAGAAGGGTTTGGGGTTGTTTAACTTGGTTCTAAAATACTATTTATTATTTATGGTAATTTTTTTGAGCAGTAATCAACTGACAACATTTATGAGTGTAGTCTTAGAAAGGATATATTTTGGGGCAAAATTCCACAAAATAATATAAAGTGCTAGGCATTCATTGCGTAATTAAATGCTGGCCCAAAGTGAGCAGGGCAAAGGTTAAGCTGACTGGCTGTCAAGGCCCGGCCTTTGTGCTGAAACATATTGCCAGTTAATTATTCAGCATATGCATGAAGGATATACCAATGTCAGTGTCAATGTCGAACTGTCGGCCAACTAAACAAGCCGTAAAAGCAGCTCAACGGCCTCATGAACTTTTGCAGCGCATCTAATGCGAATTCAATGTCGTCCTGGGCTTCCTTGAACCCCCTCCCCCCCCAGCCTGCCTTCAACTCGTCCTTGGAAGGACGACCTCGTGGCTCGTCAGCAAAGTCAATTAAAAATGTGAGCACAAACTAAATAAATTGTCATAAATATGCAAAAGAGCACAAAATACAGTTTCAGCCAAGGACTTGGTATCTCGGACTGAAGTCATTTCTTGTAGGTCCAGCAGCATTATGCATAATCATGTCTACCCATCGATATCCCTGACTTGGGCGTATGTCCTGTCATTATTGTTATTGCTCGCACTGTCGTGTAACAGTTGTTGTGCTTACTTATCGCACCACACACAACATGTGTCTGGGCTGTCGCAACTGTCTGTCTGCGGTTCTCTTCTCTGTGAAAACCCATTTTCCCCGGCGCCTTCAGCTGTCTCCTTCGGATCCCATTCCCATTTTCATTCCGACATTCCCTGCATCTCACCACAGTAAAGGCGCAGTCCCTTAAATAGCATTGCAAGTGCTCGAAGTTACACAGTGGGAAAACATAAAAGCAGGTCATACAGTTCTCGTATCTTTCCATACTTAAATAGCATTTGCTTGAATAAAAGTGCAACCCAAAATATAAAAGACAGAAGTAAATAAGGTATTATTTAATTTCCTTAGTTTAATTTTTGTTCGGCAGTACTTTCCACCATTATTATTATATTTTGTAAGTCACACAAAGCTGACACCATCTAATAATGTCTGTCACAATTTCTGACAGCTGACCTTAAATACATATAAAATAGCTGCGAACAAGAAAGTGATATACTAATGGGCAAAAAACCCATATTATTCTCAATTACGAATGCAAATGTATACCCTTCGAGTGACTTATTCTCCTGCAACATTTAACAAATCTGTGTGGCCGGAAGGTCAAATGTCAGACCAGCAGACAGACACTTATTTAATTCCCCACAATCGCACACAATCCGCCCTCCCAGTTTGTCCTTTTCTGATTTATTATTTATGAAATATTCAGCACTTATATTCATTAATTTGATTGCGATCCGAATTGATGCATTTTTCATATGGTCTGCCAAATTAGGTTTTAACTTTCTAGTGAAAGTGAATGAATTAAATCGGCAAATTGGGCTAATTCGGTCTGATGAAGCAGTATTTACACGCGATTTCGGGTTCGATTGCACGTTCCCTTTTCCAGGGGTGCATTTAATTAAATCAGGGAAAGTCGCAGAGCCCTCGGGGCATATTGATTACAGGGTCGCCAAAAAGTAAACATGAATCCTGTTGATTTATGACAAATCGAGAAAAGTAAACCACACTCTGCGTTTGATATTTTCCTTGTGTAACATATTGCGCATACGCCGCATGGGCAGTCACAGCCTCAAGTCATTTTTCATGATAATGTACTTAACATACATATTAATCAAAGGCACAGAGGGTGGGCGTGGCAACCGCAGCGAAGGCATTCTGTTATTGAGCCCCACAATTTAAATTGATCCGCAAGCAATAGCAAAGTAATAATTGCTGTGGTTTGGTTTTGCCAGGACGCACACAGATACTGGGATACTGGCACCCGAAGACGGCAGCCGAGACCATTATTCGACCGCACATCCTTGCCAGGACTCTCTGCTCTCGGGCTGCGGAATGCCGCAGGCATCGCATATTGTCCGGATGCCTCGATTCTGCAACTCAAACCTAATCATCTGCGCACAGTAATCCCATCATTTGTAATGCAAACTCATTCAGGATTGTGGTAGGCACACTGGGAAAAAGAAGTCAACCGAACTGGTCATCATTTGGATTTGTTTCCTTAAGAAAATTAAAATTTATATGTTGTTCTCTGTATAGCATAATTCAAGTCAAGTTGGGCTTAGCATTTATTTCTCTGTTTTGGGGTAGTACTTTCTTCATAGGTAAATTCAAAAAAATAACTAAACTGTTGAATAAATATATTCCAAAGTGGAAAAAGTTAAAGGTTTTTAAGTTATGAGAATTAATATTCTGTTAAAATATCTACTTTACTAACTGAAATCTACTACTGAAATCAATACACATTGCAATCCTGTAATAAAGGCGATTAAAAACCTAATGTTATACATAATGTAAAGATAAGAAACGAATATTGTTCTTTATTATTTTCCCGTGTAAACCCACGAATGCAAAAGGTAGTTTCAGGCCTCTCATCTGGCCATTGTGGCAACAAATTACCTGTGCGATTTGATTTCATTTCCGTTCTGCTGCCACCGCCTTTAGCTTCATCTGCGGTTCAGGATGGGGAATTCTGCTAGGGCAATGGCTACATTTGTAGTTCCAGATCCTTTTCCATCTAAATCATCATCAGCGCGAAGTCGGCATCATGCTGCTCGATTTGTTGTGCATTCGGTTTTTTGGCTTTCGATTTCAAATCGGGCTGCGTGGTTGGAGCCCAGCCCTGCAAGGATATGAGCGGAGGAGACTTGTTGTGAGCATGTCCTGGCATTAGACAGCTGTCGAATGTGAAATGTGGGGCATAAATCAAATGTCATATTCGGCCGAGCGGAAAACACTCTGCCTAAACTGCAATCAGGCAGCCCAGCGTTTCAAATTCATCAATTTTCATTCAAACGGAACCAATCTTATTTAAAATAAATTTAATTTGCACTCCTCTTTATTTGTCTTTCCCCGGAAAATAATAGTTGGCAAGATATTTGATCTATTTTCTGCTTATTGAAGCTTGTTCAAGATTTTATAAGATTATATACTTTAGTTTGGTTTTTAATTTAAGATATATGCAAATTTATTTGAGAGCTTTTGACACATTCTATTATCGATTCTGTTTGAATGGACCCGCCCTATTAATACTTTATCACAGCAGCTGACTTTTCTCCATTTACTCCGAGTACTAAGTACCTACTAAGCCCCAAAGTGCAGAGAAAGTATATTTCTATCATAAATTCGGCTGACTTGAAAACTTTTCGACGGCTGTGGCATTTGCGGCCCTGTTGCTGTTGCTATGTTTATGTACATGGTAGATATATACACTTAGTAGATGTAGATGTAGCTGGATCTGAAGCCTTCTTGTGGCTGTTGTCGTTACTCTCGTAATTATGAAAGTTGGCCAACTGGGCTGCGGTCTCGCGGTCCTTGGGGCATTCAAGTTGCTCCACAATGCTCCGCCTTCTTTTGGCGCCCTCAAGTATGCAACGGCAAATTGTATATACGGAAATTGGGGGATACATTTTTATATACAGAAAAGAGTGTGGGAACAGGACATCCTCATTACGTTCAAGTGGCACATTTAGAATGCAGAATTTCTGTGGCCGAAAACTTTGAGCGACTTAGAGGCTGTTGTTGAAAGTTTATTTAAATTACTAAATGAGAAATGTAGTTGTTGGCCGGAAGTTGTCGTCGTCGTTGTCGTTGTCAGTCGACGAGAGCTCGACAAAAACAAGGGCATAAATTACACAAAGGCAGCTGCAGGACCAAGTCCTAGTCCATTTTCGACAGCATCAAAGTCACTCAAGCACACGGGCCATAGTCGAAAAACTTGGCCGAAAGTAAAGTATGCAAAAAGCCTGGCTGGAGTGAAATTATGAAGCACTGCCAAATTCGTTCAAATTGCCAGACAGCCGGGCCGCCAGTCAGGCAGTCATCCAGTCATCTAGTCATCCAGTCAGACATCCTGGACGTACGTACGTGCCGGGAGCTCTGGGCCTGGAAAAGTTAACCCGGGCCACGTAGCCACCTCACTTCGATCCCCTCTCGTCAACTGGTTTCTGTTCAATCAACAACAGGGCTCTATTGCCGGGCATTGTTGCCGCCCTCCGCTTGTTTGTCTAAGTGAAGTGAAGTGTGCCAAAGATATTTGCGCCCGATATGCGTCCAGGCATTTCGGGTTAAGGCCTCGCCCCAGTCACTCTTTCAGTTTCAGCTCCTAGTCGTACACAGTGCGAAAATGTGGCGCACTTTGCTCAACAAGTGGACTAACTAAAAGCTGTTGATTAAGTTCCTTAGTGTTTTGAAGTATTTTCTCAGCTAATTAAATTTAAATCTTTTGTTTAACTGACAAGAAATTAAAACAATCTATATGTAAACAAAAGTTACTAACCCATCATCCAAATATTTTTGGTCAAGGTCTCTCTCTGTAATCCCCAAGAATAGTCAAAGACCTGCTTATGGCCAAATGACTGTATCACTCAATAGCCAGAATATGACAAAGAGAGTACTTGGGCTCGATGGAGCAATAACCAGGCTGGCAAACAAGTATTTCACTTAGAGCGCCGCTCTGTCTAATGAGCCATCCTTTCAGCAGGATTTCGCTTCCTGGCAGCGGAAGAGCACCGGACACACGTGTGCCTTTGATTTGAATGCGACAAAAGAAATTAGTTTCATATGCAGGGGGTTTGGGGAATTGTTCATGCTCCAAGGATTATGTGGAACAAATACAATCAGGCGTAGGGACATTGTTTCTTTCTAACGAATCATGGATTTTCCTTGTTTTGAAGTGACATAACTTTGAGCTGAAAGTCTTGTTCCTCAATTCTCAAGGGGCTTGTAAAGACATTTTAAAGGGTCATAAAATATTTAACAAATTCAATGTATTTGTTTACGTTATATGTTATATGTCAGACTTTATTTCTACATCGTGCGATTTTCTATGAAAATTATGGTTTAATTCTCCAAAAATCTGTCGATTTTTTTCCAAATTTCAAAGTTTCAAAAACCAGCACTCCTAGGCTCATAGCTTTTCCTACAGACATCCGATTGCAAAGTGGCATATCTCTAAATGATTGTGGCTTAATTCTCAAAAAATCTGTGTTCAAATTTTGGTTTTTATTTTTGGGTCGATTTTTCGTCATTTTAATGATGTTACCCCTTTCCAAATATTCGGAAAATGGCTTAGCTGAAAAGTGTCAAAAACCTGCACTTCTAGGCTCATAACTTTTTCTATAGACATCCGTTTGCAAAGTGGCATACCTCTAAATGATTGTGGCTTAATTCTCAAAAAATCTGTGTTCAAATTTTGGTTTTTATTTTTGGGTCGATTTTTCGTCATTTTAATGATGTTACCCCTTTTCAAATATTCGGAAAATGGGTTAGCGGAAAAGTGTCAAAAACCTGCACTCCTAGGCTCATAACTTTTCCTACAGACATCCGATTGCAAAGTGGCATATCTCTAAATGATTGTGGCTTTATTCTCTAAAAATCTGTGTTCAAATTTTGGTTTTTATTTTTGGGTCGATTTTTCGTCATTTTAATGATGTTACCCCTTTCCAAATATTCAGAAAATGGCTTAGATGAAAAGTGTCAAAATCCTGCACTCCTAGGCTCATAACTTTTTCTATAGACATCCGTTTGCAAAGTGGCATACCTCTAAATGATTGTGGCTTAAAATCTCAAAAAATCTGTGTTCAAATTTTGGTTTTTATTTTTGGGTCGATTTTTCGTCATTTTAATGATGTTACCCCTTTTCAAATATTCGGAAAATGGGTTAGCGGAAAAGTGTCAAAAACCTGCACTCCTAGGCTCATAACTTTTCCTACAGACATCCGATTGCAAAGTGGCATACCTCTAAATGATTGCGGCTTAACTCTCTAAAAATCTGTGTTCAAATTTTGGCTTGTATTTTTGGGTCGATTTTTCATCATTTACATAAAGTAACAAAATTTTTGAAAAATCGTATTTTGGTAACATCTTAATTTTATCGATTGCAACGTTTCCCAATGCCCAACGATCTATTAGGGCAAGACTCGAAATCGATTTCCTTTGCAGCTCGATCATTAAGCCATCATATAAATTGGCAGCACTGGCGGACAAAAGCTTCCGATCTCTATGGAAATAGTTAAAATCTTGCAAAAACAAGAAGGACATAGAAATCAGAAGCTCAAATTATTTAGTCTGCATGTTCAGAGAAGTTAAACAAATTCTAGAAATTGTTGTGGCCAGCGAAAGCTAAGCCAAGTTTTTAATCCAATCATAAGTTATTAGCACCCACTCTTCCTGAGCAGGAAAAGCTCAAAGTGAAAAATGAAAAAAGCAAAAAAAGAGAAAGCCATTCACTTGTGGAGCGTTTTTTAAACGACATTTTTCCCATGCGAGGGCGGCGCAGAAAAAACTTTATTCATGGACCGCACTTTTTTTTTCTATGGTCGCCACTGGATTGTAGGCAACATTCAACGAGGCGTGGATCCCTTTCGGAATCGAGTGAGTCCCTTTTGATGGCCTTTGTGGGTGGATGTAGATGTGGATGCTGTGCGTTGACGGCCAGTTTCACAAATGATTTCACATTTTTGCATAAATAAATGTCAAGTGTGCGCCGGAGCATGCGGAGAGTTGCTGACAGTTTTCTAATAAACCCAAAGGACGAAAGAAAACAGGATAATCAGCGCGCAGGACAGGGATAAAGAAACCGGAGCAACAAGTTGTACAGATATCTTGTGTCCCTGTATGTGTGTTTGTGTCCACTTCAGCTTAGCAATAATAATAACCTTGGCTGCCATTTCTCAATGTGTGTGCGGCTGTGTGTGTGTGTTCGGTTTTCCCCATATGAAAATGACAATTTCCATTCCCCTCGACACTCAGCACTCGACACTCTGGCTGGGCGCCATGGTTATTTTAGGATTTCCCAGCAACGCTGGCAATTTTAATAATGTTTACTCAAGGCGTAGCCTTAGATCATTTTGTCACCCCCCTCCCCCTCTCGAAATAAATAATAATGGAATGCCAGGAGCCGGAAAAAGTAGCCGAGCTGCAGGACTCGTGTGTGCAGTGAGGCATGCCGAATGACAGCTGCTGGCAAATGGGAAAATGCCAGGATCCTAATAAGCAGGCCAGGCCATAAGATGCAGCACGCCATTGCAGCGGAAAACTGACAATTCCGGGTTCTACGTGTTTGTTTTGTGTCGAGAGACCGGCATTCGAGCCATAACACCCATTAGACCCGTAATTTATATTCCACCCATCAAAGCGAGGGGGATTCTTCGCACAGAACTCACATTATCCCTTTTGCAGCAGCCAGCACAAAGCAGCTGCTGCCTAATGAGCGGATTAAAGTGCCCCAATAAAGGTCCTTGGCGCTTCCTGTTCTAGGAAATGTTATTCCGCACTCTAGTTGGTTCCGGGAAAAGCCGAGGCTGCAATTCAAAGCGACGCAGGAAAGCCAACTACTAGAACTTTAGCTGCCAAAAGGGGCATCTTCTGGGAAAACAAATTGCTTGACGTCTTTGGCAATCAGATATCAAAATTGAATAGTCCTCGTCTAGTTTCGAAGTATTCGTTTATGTCGAAAGGGATTTCAATGCACGAAAGTAATGCAGAGAGTTCTTGGCAATCAAAATCTATTATTTATTGACAATTTCAGCAGATTCATGCTTTCGTTTATGTCGAAAAGGGATTTAGTACCCTTGTTTTGAAGATTGTAAGAAGAATTCAGGAATTCATATTAAAATATTG